AAGTGCGTACAACAGGCGCAACATATGCCTTGTAAAAAACAAAACATATAATGCTTTCATATTGTAGTACAAGTTAAAACAATAAGTCAAAATAAACAAATATTTAAAAAAAATCTTAGTCGGAATACGTTGATTCATTTTACTACATGAAAATCATCTTGAGGAATATGGATGAAGTCGGAGTTATGGACGACGGTAACCATTCACTATCAGGCGGGCCGTATGCACGTCTGTCTACAAAGGAAAAAAAACACGATTACTTCGCAGAATTCGAGAGGTTATAATAATATGTTGGCACACGGCGCCAGGGATGGCTGAGCGGTGGTTTCCGTCATCACTCGTATTCGATTGAACTCAGTTTAGTCAATAAAACTTTTCAATCATAATTATTGAAACTCAACACACACAACTTTCACAATGACAGGATAAACCGACAGTTTCGTTGCACATACCGACAGACCGACTGACTGACTGACTGACTGTCAGAGACTCACTGACTGAGACGGACGGAATGACTGTCTGACACGGAATGCCACGACTCTGTCCACGTACCGCCATTTTATTCTGTGGCGTTACGGAGTCTACCCTTCATTTTGTGATATTTATCAAAACAAAATTTCATCATTTAAAATAATAATCAAAATCACCGTCTTAATATTACTAAAAGTCGTTATCCACGACATATATATATATATATGTATGTTATGTATGAAGATAAATCGCACGGGGTCATGGTCTTGTGTCATGCGATTTTTTTTTATATTGCTTAAGTGGGTAGAACGAGCTTACGGCCCACCTCATGTTAAGTGGTTACCGGAGCTCATAGAAATCTACAACGTAAATGCCGCCACCCAACTTGAGATAACAGTTCTAAGGTCTCAGTATAGTTACAACGGCTGCCCCCCCTTGAAGCCGAAACGCATGACTGCTTCACGGCAGAAAAAGGCAGGGTCGTGGTACCTTACCCGTGCGAACTCAGACGAAGTCCTACCATCAGTAAAAGACCTACAAGTCCACCCGCTAGTATATAGTTACTATTTACATTTAATTTAATGTATTACTCAAAATTAACTACGGAACATCTCGATTCCGTTGTCCAATACGCAATTTTCGGCTTTTTAATTAACACTGATAACTATTTATTGTATCTTCTTAATGTTTTAATTCTGTATCTTTTTTACGTAACAAATTCTTTGGAAAATTTAGAAACCTTATATAACACAAACAGAGAAGATAACGTACGTGTTGTTATCGAAAAATGTAATTTTAATTTGAATATTTTGTCTGTTGTAGGGTATATCGTTTGCCTATCGTATTTTAGTTATGGAGTTCTTCTGACTACCATCTTATGCCAACGATATCATTCCCAAGGGGAGCTGATGTTAGGTAGGCATTCAGTCATATAACTTCTACCGGATCCCTGTATAGCGTGATGCTAGGAAATTTTGATGATTGACTTCCACGGAAAAGCAATAATATCTATACTAATACTAATAATATTATAAAGAGGAAAGATTTGTTTGTTTGTTTGTTTCGAATAGGCTCCGAAACTACTGGACCGATTTGAAAAATTCTTTTTCCATTAGAAGCCGACATTGTCCCTGATGAACATAGGCTACTTTTTTTGAAAATTTTTTTATTTTATTTTTTTGGTTTCATGTGTGTTTTAATGTTTCCGAAGCGAAGCGAGGGCGGGTCGCTAGTCGTCAAATAAAAATCAAACGCGCAAATATTATAATTTGCCTCATTCATTAGTGGTGATTTTCTTCCCGAGGGCGACTGCGTGATTCACCCGAGAATAAGGGCTAGCTCCGTGTACTGTATTATTGTACAGTGTGCTTAGTGCGAGTTTTTTAAAGTTCTCGATAGCGTTAAAGTTAACTCAAATTTGTATGGAATTGGAACGTTTGCTTACGTTTGCCGCTAGGGACGCTATTCCAACTGCATACAAATTTGAGTTAACTCTTACGCTATCGAGAACGTTAAAAAGCTCGCACTAAGCACACTGGTATCCCGCATATTTATTGCCGCGAAGTAGTTATGCGCTTCGGTTTCAAGGGTGGGACAACTGCTACAAAATACCAATAAGACTTTTTTTTATTGCTTAGATGGGTTGACGAGCTCACAGTCCACCTGGTGTTATGTGGTTACTGGAGCCCATAGACATATACGACGTAAATGCGCCACCCACCTTGAGAGATAAGTTCTAAGGTCTCAGTATAGTTACAACGGCTGCCCCGCCCTTCAAACCGAAACGCATTACTGCTTCACGGCAGAATTAGGCAGGGTGGTTGTACCTGCCCGCGCGGACTCACAAGAGGTCCTACCACCAGTAAAAAACCTTCGACCTTGTTCGCTATTAAATCTTTAAAGACCCTGCCTGACAATAAGACGTGACCATAATTGTAATTGGTTCTCAAACGCGAACGAAAAACGCTACCATCATCATTCTCCTGCGCTTCTCCCAGGCACCTGGGGTCGGCGCAACATGTTTTCTCCTTCCATACTACTCTATCATATACCATTTCTTCGCTCAGTCCCCTCTTACACATGAGTCGACTATTATCAAAGCCGGCAATCTGACTTTTGGACAATGATTGGTAAATCAGAAAAACGAATTATTGACTTTGTATTCCATTGGCAGTCACAAAACTCTTCGAAACGACATCTTAGATAAATAACAGGTTAAGTATTAACCTTTATTTAATGCAGGTTTTGAACCGTATTCTTTGAAGGAGACGATTATATTCAAATCAATCTGTATTGACATATCAATAATTTTTTTTTGTCCAAATGCACAGATTGCCACCTTTGATAATAGACGACTCACATATCGTCTTTCACGCAATCCATCCATTTCTTCTTAGGTCTACCTTTACACAGGTCTATCTTCCACATTCATAGTTAGGACTCTCTTACCAACCTCATTATCATTTCGTCTCATCACATGTCCACGAACGGAAAACGCTACCAAAAATATCTAATCCGATCTGGGGTCAGGGAGGTTCTTAGATCAAAAGAATACCTACAAAATCTTCCAGAGGTCAAACGTATCTGCCACAGATCTATAGCATACAAAGATACACTAAATTGTATGTACATATACATGTTACGGTAAATGTACACTTTTGGGAAATGTACACATTTACCAAAAACTTAAGTTCAACTCTAGCCTTCATGTTTTAAGAAAAGTTGGAATCTATATATTAATACGTGAAGCAAAAACTTTGTATCCCTTTTTACGAAAATTGCGCGGACGGAGGAGTATGAAATTTTCCACACTTATAGAGAATATAGAGAAGAAGTGCACAATGCTAATATTTTTTTTAAATAATGCATAAAAGATACATTAAATCGATAAAGAAAACATTACACACACTACATACCATGTATTTGACGCACACACATGGCACACACGCATGCATACTATTTAATGTCAAACTTTTGTTCTTGGCGTCTGTTGTCAAATTGAGAATAGTTTAAATATTGTTTGTCTTTGTTAATATTTTTTATAGTGTAGTCTTGGCGAAATTTGTATAAAATACAATCATAATAGTGTACAAACTTACAAATCCGGTTAATTATAGTCGAATTTCGACTACTGCGGGACCTCTGGTACAAATAAATTAATAATGTTGTTGCAGTAAAAAAATATTTAATTAAATAAACGTAATACAAAAGGCTCTAATAACGAAAATTACTTTTATTACAAAATGTAGGTAAATGACAAACATAACATACTTTTCTTTGCATATTATATAATATGTCGTAGGTTATGTTAGGTTGTAGTGATGCCCCCATGGTCCCCCAACGACATGGTCATTGTGGATTCAATGTACATTTCCCTTCTATGAAATTGTAAATGTTAGTTGAATACACATTACCCAAACGAGGAGACAAATGGGCACATTTACCGGAAAATGTGTACATTTGCCGCATTATCTACTTTTACCGTAACATATACATATACATACAAATCCTTTGCTTTATTATAACGGTATCTTATTGATCGAGCGGCAATATGGTCATTCCATTCGCAATGGACAAGTGGGCCGGTTTCTTGTTTTGCCTGAGCGCGCTGTGTTTTACTGTAAGTTATTTTGTTCTTTAATCTTGATTGAGGCTTGAGGCCTGCTCGTATAGGAAATAATAATAATACTAACAATTCTTGATTCTGCTGTACCTTATTATCAATACCAACCTTAACCAGTTCTTGAAAATATTCATGTTACGCTCTACTGAAACCGATCTATTATCACGGATAGGTATTGTTGCCAATAAGCCTGATGTTGTGATAATAAGTCGGTCTGCGCGTCGAGCAGTGTTGGTTGATGACCACTCCGCATAACAAGAATCTTTTTTTTTTATAGTTTAGGTGGGTGGACGAGTTCACGGCTCAAATGGTGTTAAGTGGTTACCGGAGCCCACAGACATCTACAACGTAAATGCCGCCACCTACCTTGAGATATAAGTTCTAAGGTCTCAGTATAGTTACAACGGCTACCCCACCCTTCAAACCGAAACGCATTACTGCATCACGGCAGAAATAGGCAGGGCGGTGGTACTTACCCGTGCGGATTCACAAGACGTCCTACCACCATTAAAACCAGGTTTGCAATTTTGCAAATATATTTACATCTCAGACAAAGCTTACAAAATATTATTATACAAGCTTTTGCCTGCGACTCCGTCCGCGTGGAATAGTTACTTTGGCATAATGCTAAATTTTACCCGCCCCCCCCTTCATTTACGTAGAAAGTGAAAATATTTTTGAATTATAGAATGTTAAGGAAGCTATTCAAACCCCTATTTTGAAACATTCTTTATTGGTGCTCCACTTGTATTGATCTTACCGTGATGTTATATAGCCTTCCTCAATAAATGGGCTATCTAACGCTGAAAGAATTTTTCAAATCGGACCATTAGTTCCTGAGATTAGCGCGTTCAAACAAACAAACTCTTCAGCTTTATAATATTAAGTATAGATTAGTAGAAAATAAATGAATATTAAAAGAGCCTCCGGCCGTCCGTGTCCAATTGAAAGGGATTTATATGAGTTTTCAATTCCACAGAGCGCTGAACTGATCGTGCCGACATTACAACTGAGTAGTGGTGGGAACATACCAGTGGTAGCACTCGGCACATGGCTGGGACATCGACCTAAAGTAATTAATACGCTTTTATTAGCTTCAGACGTATGTATGTAACGGAATCTTTGAACATGATTTTGACCACCTTCAAAACGTCGGATTAACTCGAAATTTGGTATTATAGTTACTTAATAAGGATCGATGACAATATATTATTTAAAAAAAATTTGAAAAAAAAAAAAAGTTTTTTAAAATTGATATTCAACAAAAAAATTTAAAATAAATAATAATTTAAAAAAACTAACAAAATACGCTTTTATAGAAAATTCAACTAAAAAATAGAATAAAAAATAAAATTTTAATAAATTTGAATTACACTTTTTCTTACACTATTTTTAATTCAAATTTATTAAATTTTTTTTTTTTTTTATTTAACTATTTGGACAATTAATGTGTTGTTAATAAAGTAATGTTTATGTTTCCAATGTAACACGTTACAGACATAATTATAGTATGTTGCACGATTTAGGCCATTTCATATTTTATTACACTACTAGCTGACCCGGCAGACTTCGTAGTGCCTCAATCGATAAATAAAAGGCCTAAACTTTTGTATAAAATAAACTTATAAGAAACAAAAGGAATCCGTCCGACGGGGGACACATCAAAGGAAAAACAAAATTGTTATTTTTATTTAATTCCAAGCATTTTCATATTGATCTACCTTTTAAACCTTCTCTGGACTTCCACAAGTAATTCAAGACCAAAATTAGCTAAATCGGTCCAGCCGTTCTCGAGTTTTAGCGAGACTAACGAACAGCAATTCATTTATATATAAATATAGATTTGTGGCTTACTCAATGAAAACGCAAGTCTGAAAATCATTGCCTTCATGGTTCTCCGTTATGTAATGTTTATGTAATACTCGTAAAATATTCATTTCATTTTGTTTATGAAATTAAATCATTACTTTTGTTTATATTATTATATTATCTTGGGAGATATTTTTTATTTTCTGATAACCCCCATTTCTGATTTCAGAGGTCATTTGATTACATATTTCTTACCTCATAAAAAAAATATGTAAATATATAAATAAAATAAAATTATGTTTGACTTGAAAGATACGAGGATGCGAGCCACCGAACGACCTCAAATTGTTACAACTTCCACATCGTCCATTAATAGCATCCTAATATCAATATTTTGAAACCTTCTCCTAATACTTCTCTATCTACCTTACGTTTTGCATGGGTATTGCATGCATCAGCTTAAGCTACAGAGCCTGCCAAATAGTCATAGTCAACTAGATATGAATTAATGCTGGCTTTCTGGGGCGAGCTGATGAAATACGATTGCTAATCACGGATACATCAAGGATATCATGTTTCTGCTTCTCATTTCATGTCTCTTCGCTGCTAAGTTTTAGCGATGATCTAAATCTAGTTTCAATTAAAACTCAACGCAAAAAAAACTATGCACTAAACTTAAGGCATTTAGAATGAAAAAAATGTGCGCTTAGAACTTGGTACACTTGAAAGAAGTGAAACTTTTTTTGCGGTGTGTAGTGGATTTCTTAATTTTGCATCCTTAAATTAAATTTCTCTTGTAATAGGGAATGCTGTGTATAAGAGAAACGATATAGCTCGCTTTGTCCTTTCCCTCTCTCGACGGTCGAGTGATTTGCGGGACGCTCTATCTTCTCACTCTCGCTCGACCTAAATTGTATCTTTTCTCTCTAGCCGTAACGAATCTGTCGCGAGTAAAATTTTACTCTCAACACCCCTAGAGAAGTTTCACTTCAAAAACTTATTTAATTTTCAGGGAAAAGTAGTTCAAGTAACCAATGACACAGAGCAAGCTGTCATATACGCGTTGGAAGCTGGATACACACACATAGACACCGCGTACAAATATGGAATCGAGGACCAAGTGGGAAGGGCCCTGACCAAGAAATTCTCAGAAGGACTAAAAAGAGAATCTATCTTTATAACTACCAAGGTACGATGAAGACAGGTTCGGGTATTTTAATTTATTTTTTTCCCTGGTCATTTAGATAATTGAGGTGGCCGTGCCTGGCTTAATCAATGACCCAACTAAAGCCCCTATAAGCCTCATTTATGATTCCATTCCCCCACGGTGCAACGTCGTGCTTAGTTTGGTTGAGAGTAACTTGGAATTGTTGGCCTCACCTCTCTTATGATTTTGACGTATCAACACTGTAGATGTGACGTGATTTAGTGCAATGTAGCAGTTAATATTAGTTCTAAATGTCTTTCAGCTATGGAATTCCTTCCACGAGAGAGAGCAAGTGGTCCCAGCGCTGAGGAAGTCCCTTGAAAATCTCAACCTGGAATATGTCGACCTGTATTTGATTCACTGGCCCATAGCTATGTTTGTAAGTGGAAGTTTTTGCGAAACTTTGCGCTAGGAAAAGTTTTTAAAGATTATTTACGTATTATTTGGCTTTGAACTTAAATGTTTCTAGTGTTTTGATGAGTCATTCTCTAAACGAGTTTGGATGAGACGTAGCACGTTCAATTTGTTTACTGGAATTTATTTACGGAAACAGGTTAGACTACAAAATGAAGGTCTCGCCTATTTTAAATAGGTTTTTAGTCTCAACTTTGGTTTCGTCTCTGTAATCGGAGAAAATTGGAGGAGCCGACGGTTGTATATATATATTTTTTTTAAACTTATTCTGCGAATGCCCGGCATTTCTCTTACTCGAAGCGACTTTGCCGTGTTACTTGGCATCGCTGATATCCATAAATAATGGTAACGAATCAGGTCTGCTACTTTATCCACGTTTATTATATTTCCTATTTTCATTGTATGAGATAAAACAGCATCTTATACATATCCTGTAATATAGTCCAAAAGATACGTTCAAATTGAGCTTTTTCTTCACGCTAAAAGATGAGACGTCCGGTACATTCGTATCTAACGATGCACCGGTGTTCGAATTCCGCAGGCGCGTACTAATTTTTCTAATGAAAAGGCTCCGTTAACCACTTAGCACCAGGTGGGCTGTGAGCTCGTCCACCCAGCAATGCAATAAAAAAAACCCTGTTTATTACTTTCCCTACTTGGATACGGAAAACATCCACAAGAAATTTTAAAGTAAACCCATCCAGTATCTATACCATCATTACAATAAACTTCAAACTTTTTTTATTGCTTACTTGGGTGGACGAGCTCACAGCCCACCTGGTGTTAAGTGGTTACTGGAGCCAATAGACATCTACGACGTAAATGCGCCACCCACCTTGAGATATAAGTTCTAAGGTCTCAGTATGGTTACAACGGCTGCCCCGCCCTTCAAACCGAAACGCATTACTGCTTCACGGCCGAAATAGGCAGGGTGGTGGTACCTACCCGTGCGGACTCACAAGAGGTCCTACCAGCAGTAAAAAACTTTTATGTATTGATCTGAAATCTCCAGGAGAACGATACCTTACTCGACAACGTGGACTTTCTGGACACGTGGCGGGGTATGATCGACGCTAAGAAGCTCGGCCTCACCAAATCCATAGGCATCTCCAACTTTAACCAAGAACAAATCCAGAGGATCATCGACAGCGGACTGGAGAAACCTTCGGCTTTGCAGATCGAGGTAACGGTCACCAGATTTTATTCCAGCCGAGTAAACCTCCTCCTCTTTTTCCTTCAGTCGATCGCTCATTGCTGGGAATCGTGATGCGCCCGCCTGTGACCTTTTTTTGTAATTTGTAGCCACTTATGTCGGTCAGTGGCACAGTGCAGTGCGTGGCTCAGTCTCATGTCCAGATACTCGGACATTTGGTCACTCCATCTTTTTTCCCGGTCATTTAGACAATTGAGGTAACCGTGCCTGGCTTAATCACTGGCCCAACTAAAGCCCCTATAAGCCTCATTTATGATTCAGTTCCCTCACGGTAAAGCGTCGTGTTTAGTTTAGTTGAGAGTAACTTGGAATTGTTGATCTCACCGAGTAAACCTAAATTCACCTAATTAGTGACTCCGCGTGTTCTGCTGCCTAGCTCTTCTGTGTATTCAGTGGGCGAATATCCCCCTATTAATCTGATGTGGATCTGCGGAATCATATCTATATTATAAATTTCGGATCTAACTCAATCTTCAAACGGAACCGCATGACTGCATTGCGGCAGATATAGACTTAATAAAGATATTTTCAAATGAAAGTAATCCTTCGATAGCAAGGACGTTTTAAATAAATCACTTATTAAATAGGTACATAAGGAATCCAACACACATCTCACATCGCAATCAAATGCTAAACTAGGACTCTGTATATGTTGAAATCAGATATAAAACAATCAGATTATAGAGCTAACAAACTTATTACGAATAAATGTTTGGCCGATGTGAGAATCGAACCCTCGACTCAGAGTAAGTGCTTGAGATGGGCCTGTTATTCGCTTTATCCAAAGAGCATATCAAAGATGACAGCGTTTTTGGTTTTCTAGATATATCTGCTAAATCAGATATGTGTTATAACTTCAATGAAAACATAAATGCGAAGGGTCAACACTATCGCCTTTTCGAGTAATGTATTATTTATTATTATTTTGGTAATTGCCAAGATGTTGCTAAGATCTATATTTATAACGCGGTTATTAGATATTGTAATGAAAACCTAAAACACAAACCCTTCAAACCGAAACGCATTACTGCTTCACGGCAGAAATAGGCAGGGTGGTGGTACCTACCCGTGCGGACTCACAAGAGGTCCTAACACCGGACACAGAGAACTTAATTAAAAGCAATGTTTAATTTATTAGTTTTGTATCTTTTTGTTTATTTTTTCTTATTAATTTATTTTATATTTGTTTATGTCTACGCTCTCCATATAATAATATGTGTAATTATTTGATATGTTATTTTTATTACTCAAATTTTATTATATTATATGTCAAATCTTGTAACGCATGATTTTGAGCGTAATAATTATTAATAATAGTGATGTCGTTTTGAAGTCGATTATATACATAGTGAATCGCATTTTGATCCTCACGATACAGGCTATGCCTAGTGTGAGGATCATTGGTTAATATTATATTGTTGATGCCATCTGCGTAATCTCTCAATTTGTTAAATATGTAAATAGTTTCTAGGTCACGATTTAAGAGTTTATGTAGTAAATAAATAAATTAGGTATTATTATTATTATTAATTGTCTTATCCCTCAGTTAAACCTCAACCTGCAACAACCAGAGCTCTTCAAGTTCTGCCGCGAAAACGACATAGTGGTGATGGCGTACACTCCCTTCGGGTCGCTGTTCCCGAGCAAGGCTCAACCAGACGCTCCTCCGCCGAGGATTGACGATGAACGCCTCGTCGGTATCGCCCAGAAATACAACAAAACTGTCCCGCAAGTTGCTCTTCGCTTTTTGGTGAGCGTTATATTATTTATAGATAATACGGATAAATCAGTTTAAGGCTTGCTCTTCTTTCTTTCTGAAGTCGTCGTGGCCTAAAGGATAAGACGTCCGGTGTAATCGTATGTAGCGATGCAACGGTGTTCGAATCCCGCAGCCGGGTACCAATTTTTCTAATGAAATATGTACTTCACAAATGTTCACGATTGACTTTCGCGGTGAAGGAATAACATCGTGTAATAAAAATCAAACCCGCAACATTATAATTTGCGTAATTACTGGTGGTAGGACCTCTTGTGAGTCTGCACCGATAGTTACCACCAGCCTGCCTAATTCTGCCGTGAAACAGTAGTGCGTTTCGGTTTGAAGGGTGGGGCAGTCGTTGTACTGCAAAAATTGAGGCCTAAAAACTCAAATCTCAAGGTGGGTGGTGGCATTTACGTTGTAGATGTCTATGGGCTCCGGTAACCACTTAACACCAGGTGGGCTGTGAGCTAGTCCACCCTTCTAGGAAAAAAATAATAATTTAGACAGGTTTTAGTTAAATTTCATTTAAGTTAACAACTAATTTCAAGCGCCGTATATAAGTACCTAACTTGGTTCGTGCAAAATGTTAAACGATTTTTATACTTAAATCGAATGTTCATGGACTCTTTCGTAACAACAATCCGTTCACCGTCCCTCGTCGAACCCGTCGCTTGATACAAAGGGCTCGACGAGTAAATTAACCCTCAGACACAGCCCACTGAGTTTCTCACCGGATCTTCTCAGTGGGTCGCGTTTCCGATCCGGTGGTAGATTCTGCGAAGCACGGCTCTTGCTAAGGCCAGTCCAAGCAACACTCCGGTTTGAGCCCCGTGAGCTCACCTACACACGTTAGGGTGAAGCTGAAATAGCCTCTCAAGGCTATCAGTATAGGTAGGATATAAAAAAATAGACAACAATTTCTGCCGTTTTCTTTAAAAGAACGAAATACATATAGGTAATGGACAAATATTGAAATAGGGCTCTCAATGGTAATTGCTTTTAGTCAACATGATTTTTACTTTTCCAACATTAGTTGGTCTGTACTTTTTTCTCGGTCTACACTGGTTGCCTAAAGAAGACGCATTTTCTTTTCGTACTACACATACGGTAGGTAATATTACGAAACGCTCAGTACTTTCACAGATAGCTAAATTGTATGATCCCTTGGGATACGTAGCCCCGTGTATTTTTCTTGCTAAGAATTTTATGCAAAAATTTAGATAAAACGTACCCAAGATTATTTTCTAAATGGATAGTCAATTTCACAGCCCATCTTTACAGAGGCGATGTAGTCTCATACCTTGAGACCAGTTGGTTTTTTTATGGTCCGAGGATATGGTTTATTTGACGGAAGACACCAGTCGAGGAGAAGACTCATTTCAGAGTATCGACTCTCTTACAATATCTATAACTTATGTCCGACTACATGAAATGTAATATATATGTACTTGACATTATAATAGGGAACGACAAAGGGTTACAAAAGGGTTAGGGGTCGACAAACGACGAGCAGTTAGTATAACAAAGTAAACCGCGCGAATTACGGTATTTAGAACTTGTTGCAAGTTTGTTGTGTAATTATCGTCAGCGCTATTCAGAACTTTGCCGGATTTCTTACTTGAAGATCGACGTAGGTACTACTTATATTAATAAGTCGATGTTTAATCGAAGCACGCATTAAGTAGTTGTATTTGACTGAATTAACAATGTTATGTACTAAGTATACAATTAAATGCATTTTTATTTAAAAAAAAACGTTTGAGTTGTTAGGTTTTTTTAATTTTTTTATTGCCCTTGTAGGCAGACGAGCATACGGCCCACCTGATGGTGAGTGGTTACCGTTGCCCATGGACTTCAGCAATGCCAGGGGCAGAGCCAAGCCGCTGCCTACCGCTTAATACTCTCCACAAGCCTCGTTTGAAGAAGGACATGTCATAGCGCTCGGGAAATACCGTGGAGAGGAGCTCATTCCATAGCCGGATGGTACGTGGCAAAAAAGATCTCTGGAAACGCACTGTGGATGACCGCAGTGGCTCCAGGTAGTATGGATGAACTCTACTCCGATGGCGGGCGGTGCGATGGTAAAAACGAGATGCCGGTATCATTTCGAACAATTCCTCAGAGCACTCCCCATGGAACATACGGTATAAAATACAGAGAGAACCGAAGTCCCTCCGCAGACCCAGAGGTTCCAAACGATCCGTGAGACTGGGAATATCGACAATCCGAACGGCCCTCCTCTGTATGGAGTCAAATGGAAGATAGGTCTCCCTTGGAAGCGCTAGGGTAGCTGTTAGCAAATCCCATCCTTCCTGGCTGAGCCCTTGTTCGCCCACCTGTCATTGTGAAACTGGAAAGATCTCCGGGCCACCAGTAAACCCTTATAAAAAAACAATTAAATGTTCGGAATACATATATGTAATTTTACATGGTTTTGTTTTTGGCGGGCTTTCTGTTTACCATAGATTATATCACTGTGCGATACGCTGCCAGCTTTTTTATTTTTTTATTATTAATAAAGTATTCTATACCGCTACAATCCTGATATTAATTAAAGCAAATATAAAATCGCTTTGCGTCTTTTCAATCCAAATTAATAAAAGAAAGGTACAATGAAACTAAGTCTTTTTTATCTTCATTTTTAAGATCGAGTTAGGAGCCGTCGTTCTACCCAAATCGGTGCATAAGGAGAGGATCGAGCAGAACATTCAGCTGTTCGACTTCAGTCTGACTCCTGAGGAGTTCAACCTGCTGAAAAGCTTTGACACCGGCTACAGGACCTTGCCGCAGACCAAATGGAGCAAACATCCTGACTACCCGTTCCAGTTAGCATAATATAAAAAGCATTTTTTTTTCAAGAATCGCTAAACGAGTATTTGTTTTCAGTTCTAGTTTAGAGTTCCACATGATAGAATTAATGACAAAAATACGTTGTTGTGTTAATAAATAAAAAATCACAAAAAAAAACCATTTCTTTGTTTCAATGAGCAGGATCGAACTTGAAGATATAATATTAGGTATGTACCTACTTATAAAATTATAGTTGGGTAAAAATAGTTAATCAAGTTTGAAAAAAAATATATATTTCTATCAATCAAACTATGCATCCATGGTATCGATGCTTCTCTAGCAGCGCACTGGTAATTACTTAATGTCCTGAAGTTGAAGAATGTTCCCGAAGGCTTAAAGGATAAGACGTCCGGTGCGTTCGTGTTGAAGCGATGCACCGGTGTTCGAATCCCGCAGGCTGGTGCCAATTTTTCTAATTAAATACTTACTTGACAAATGTTCACGATTGACTTCCACGGTGAAGGAATAATATCGTGTAATAAAAAACAAACCCGCAAAATTATAATTTGCGTAATTACCGGTGGTAGGACCTCTTGCGAGGCCGCAGGGGTAGGTACCACCGCCCTGTCTATTTCTGCCGTGAAGCAGTAATGCGTTTCGGTTTGAAGAATGGGGCAGTCGTTGTAACTTTATTGAGACCTTAGAAATAAAATGTTCAATAAATAATAAATAAAAAACCCACGTAACGGACAAAAACAAAAGTTAAAAACTGTCGAAAAGTTAGTATTAACTAAAATAAGCGATGTTAATAATAATTAAAGTAAAACCATAACTTGATCACAAATTTTCATTATAAATTATATATATTTCAAATGACTAAACAAAATCTAAAAATTTAAACAAATTTTATAATCATAACGCGTGACGTCATTTGAGCCAAATCTTTGTATGGTGACGTCACATAACCTGATATTAGATGTTCATTGATGCTTATTGGTTCATTGACGTAATTTGAAATTAATAAACTTAATGACAAATATAAACAATGTATATTTACTGGTGGTAGGACCTCTTGCGAGTCCGCGCGGGTAGGTACAACCGCCCCGCCTATTTCTGCCGTGAAGCAGTAATGCGTTTCGGTTTGAAGGGTAGAGCAGCCGTTGTACTAAGGACTTAGAACTTACGTCACCAAAGTCGATGTCTATCTGCTCCGTTAACCACATAACACCAGGTGGGCCGTGCGCTCATCCACGCATCTAAACAATAAAAAAAGTGATTTCTCTATTTGGCAACAATACTTGTTACAATTTTTTTTTTTAATTATTCATCCGTTTTTTTTATTTTGAAAATTTTTATCTGACTATATGAACCTAATCACAGATATAGAATTTGACACTGCCATAACACAAGCTCATTGGGAGCTCTTTTTGAGAATGGGCATGATCACCTCATCGGAGTAAAATGGCTATTCTCTAGGGTTAATTAGTCTGTCGGAGTATAAAATCTTCAGAATCATTTCAAATAATTCTTCACAGCAACCGCCATAACAATGGCATTGGTTCAAAAGAGCGAGACCAAAAAGTCTGCCCATAGACCCAGGTTCCATACGATCCATGAGATTACAATCAATCAAAGTAGAGGATTTCTAAGTTAGGATCTATTGCTCTAGAGTCGAGACACATGAAGAGAAATTATCAGGTATCATCCTAATCTTATTCTCAGGTGAATCGTATTATGAGTCAATCTGTTTCATTAGCAACTGCTTTCTTAACCTCAAAATTGATACTTCCAACTCATGTTTCTCCCTCCTCTCTCTCTTCTCGATCTCAAACAACTCTCTCTGCTTCTTCAGTTCAAACTTTAATAAATCTCTCCTTAACTCCTCTAAGCTCTTCCTATCGTGGTCAAGTTCAATTGGATCTTGCGATAAATTCGGTTTAATATCTGCATACTCAATATGTATTATTTCTTCATTGTTATTTGCTAATGAGTCAATATGTTCTTCATCATCAGAATCATCGATGCCGCAGTGATTTGTTGATTTTGACCGAGCCCCCTCTGATTCCTGCAAGTTTTCGATGACTGATTATTTTAACAACTAAAAACAAAATCAAGGCTCATTATTAATTTTAAGTAGAATTGAAGAAAAATTATGTTATTTTATATTATAATTTTATATACTGAAGTGGAGAGACACTGGAGCTTGTGGATTCGACAGTTTTTCTTGGTATAACAGTTGATTCCAAGCTGCAGTGGGGTCCTCACATATGCAAGTTAGCGAGTAGGCTTAGTTCTGCAGCGTTTGCGGTAAAAAAAATACGAATATATATTAATGAAGATACGGCACGCCTGGTTTATTTTAGTTATTTTCATAGTGTTATGTCCTATGGCATTTTGCTATGGGGCAATGCTGCCGATGTCGAAACGATTTTCATCCTGCAGAAGAGGGCTATTCGTGCTATTTATAATATGCACCCGAGGGAATCCTTGAGGGACAAGTTTAAGGAAATCAAAATTCTAACTTTAGCGTCCCAATACATTTTTGAAAATTTATTGTACGTGCGTAAAAACATTGAAGAATTCCCCAGAGTCTGCGATTTGCACAATGTGAACACTAGGAACAAACATAGGCTTGCGTTGCCGGCGGCTCGAATTAAGAAAATAAGCAACTCTTTTAGGGGGCTGGGTGTACAGCTTTTCAACAAGATCCCACTAAACGTTCAACTACTACCTGTTCATAGATTTAAGAAAACTGTTAAGGAACGTTTGTGCAACAAGGCATATTATAAAGTTAAGGATTATTTACTAGATGGCACTACGTGGGAATGAGGCGCTCGCTCCTGGCCTTTTCGTTTTTCATTATTATTATTTTTTTTTTAATTGTATTTTTTTGACTTGTTTTTTCTTTTATTGTGAATATTTCTATTTATTTAAAAAAAAAGAAAATATTTGAGAAAAAACAAAAAAAAAAAAAAAAGCCCGCTCAGTTTGTTTCGCCGGTTCTTCTCAGGACTGTGGCTTTTTTTGGAACCGGTGGTAGAGTTAACATTGTTATTTGTATTTTGACATTCAACAAGTGTGTCATACTGACATCTAAGTTGAAATAAATGATTTTGAATTTGAATTTATTATATATATTTTATATTATAGTACATAATGTTAACCACATTAACTATGTAAACCACATTATGTACTACTTTGCATTTTATAATGTATAGGGTACAAAAGACTTAAGATCACATATCACCGTTAATAGAAGTTATTCCCCATGGAACTGGTTTTTTTTTGCTTGAATGGATGGACGAGCTTACGCCCACATGATGTTAAGTAGTTACCGAAACCTATAGGCATCTACAACGTAAATGCCGCCACCCACCTGGAGATATAAGTTGTAAGGTCTCAGTTTTTATAGCACCGGAGCCGCCCCACCCTTCAAAGCGAAATGCATTACTGCTTCACAGCAGAAACAAGGAGGGTGGTGGTACCTACCCATGCGGACTCCCAAGACGTCCTACCACCAGTCACTATACAAAGCATGAGACAGGCTGAGAAGTTACAATATATTGGGTTTTAGGAATACTCTCGCTTTAAGGAAGTATATGACCTTAGGAAGCAAGGTTATAAACAAAAGTTTTAAGACTTTCAGGATTTTTGCATAAGGCAAAATGTTACATCTCAGTGCTATGAAAACTAGCATTTATCTGCAAATTCTTTTTCGTTTTGCAAACAATAATTATTTTACCTGAAACAGACTTATGTGACTCAGAGCGCTCGGAGAGAGTAAATTCCCCTCCTCATCCGTCAGTATCTTGATGACCTTTTGCTCATACGGAGAGAGACGTACTGAGCAAGCAACCCCATTGGACTGGCATTTCTTCAGACAAATATATTTTCTTCGTATTTTAAATTTCCAATCCGCCCAATACTGGAAGTAGAAAATTTTCACAAATTAATATTATTGGTTCATGACGTTGAAAGTAATAATTGGCATAATTATTTACTATAGGGCATAATTTTTGCATGGGAAGATTGCAGGATAAAACAGCTGTAATACAATGTACTCAAAACTTTAACTGTATTGCTCGAGGAGAGTGGAAGTGGTCATGCTGTTATAACTATAGGTTCTGGTAGCCCCAGCAGTTAGGCAGCGAGCTCATTTATTCAATTAAAAAAAAATCCACACAGATCAGACTCAAAATCTTAAAATAGTTAAATGTTAACTAAAAGTTTTTGCTTATTGTTTTTACTTTGGAAGGATAATCCTTTACAGTGTACTACAGTCAAGAATTCTGATAGAAAATTGTGTTTTTGTACAGGCATCTCGTAGTTAGAGTCTGTACATGTTGTGTCCTTATATGTGNAAAAAAAAAAAAAAAAAAAAAAAAAAAAAAAAAAAAGACTTATTTGGAGTCTATTCTTTTGTATATTTATTGATCTGGGTCGTAAATGCGGAGATTATTTTAATGTTATGTTACAAAGTGTATGGCATATTGCAGGTTATTGTAAGTACATAAACTAGCTAATATGGTATAAAATTTTACATAGTCCAGCGACTGCAACTTCGTAACGTTAACGAAGCGTTTGTAAGAATAACAATACTCGCTAGTGATATAAAAGTATTTTTCTTTCAACACACCCGCGACCATTTGCCACCGGTTTTGTATACTTTTTCATCAACTTTGTTTAAGCTTTGCGCTATTTTTTCCCATATTTTTCTGGCTTCGATCACCTCTTCCCTGGATCGTGCACAGGAAAGGGCTAAAACTGGGTATTTTTCCATGTATTTGACTAATATTTCTAAATGTTTTCGTGATACTAGGCGACGATACATTGGGTGCCCTTCCCCCATTTCGGATCAAATAATGTACATTAATATTTATGTAACTTATGTACTACTTTAGTTTTAATTTTTTTTTAATATTGTTAATTATCAGTTGTGTTAGTAATATAATATTTCAATATATTAAAAATAATGAAGCAAGTTTATTTTGATTACAGAAATTGACATTTTCTTAAAGTTACCATGTAAAAAGAAAAACGTTCCGGTCATACTTTGTATTTGGCAGTTTAAAAGCAGCCGTCGTCTGCTTTTTAAAAGTAAAGACGTCATTTAAAATTTTGTAAGCGAAAATTACTCATCATGTGCCAATAATTGCACATATTCTAAATTATAATCAACAGGTACCGTAAAATGGGGCGATTAGGGACAAATTCCAACTTTATGAGCAATTTTAAGGTAGTTGTTGATGTATATAATGCTATATCAGGATCAAAATGATTGAGTCTTGGGGGCATCTTTGTTGTCCAATTTAAAATTATGCAACTAGCATTCCAGTTTAAGCAAAAAATGCAAAAATAGGTGTAATCCCTATTTACCCGAAAATTGCGGTTAATTGGGACGAAATGAGAAATTTGCTAGGGTTGGCACTACTTTTATTTTTATATATAGTTTTAATTTATTTATTTATTTAGTTGCACCAACAAAGTGATCATCAATAAAAAAAATTGAAAAACTGACAAAAGTACATGGCAGACATCACCTCAATTATAGGTGCAATCGACAGTGCTGATATTTCTATCTGGGTTAAGAGATTAGGTGTGTCGGTTATTCCATGGATTAATCAGATGAATACCCCCACTCTGAACAAATATTAAATATTTTATTATGTATTACTTAGACATTTTTGTCCACCTTGAGATTTCATTGATCTTGTTACATGTCTCTGCAAAATCGACTTACTTATATTAAATTGCTTATCTATTTCAACTAAAGACTTATTCCCAATTTCGCTTCGAATAAACCAGATTTTTACCAACAAATTTAAAAAATATTGTTATAACTACATAGACAACCCTACAAACCTGTACCTATTTATACTTAGGTCGTTTCCATTTCACGTATTCTCATCCCAATTGACCCCTTTTTCGTTGTTATTTGTACCTAAGACGTCCCCAATATCCCCAAAAACAACAGATTTTTACATGTATTTTTATTTAATCAAATACATTAAAACCAATAACAACTGAGACTTACCTTTAATATATATGCTGGTTCAAACACTAAATAACGTTTATAAATCATAGTCGTCTTCTATTATTATCAAATAAATAAAAGAGAGCAAAGTTTCTAGCACTAAAATAATTACCACCACAGGAAGTTAATTTGAAACGCGATTTTTTATAAGTTAGCAGCTATTATCATGCATATTCAGAGTTGTTTTGTGAACTTTCAACATTCTACTATTAAACTACAAAAAATGGAAGATTTTGCAACGAATATAAAACTTATATTGAGCGTCGAAAGATTTTCCCGGTTTTTTTCCCGATTCGCCTCTCAATCCCTAAACGCCCCATTTTACCGGTACCTCAAAGTAAAACCCCAATTTTTTATTTTCATCCTAGCATCTAGCAACACTAATTCGGATACAAATGGAAATTTTGAAATCCAATTATTTTGTAATTTTATCTCAATACCACATGCTATTGTAAGTAATACTTAAAATCTCAATGAACCGATAAAATGGTTTTCAGTCTGTTTATGTTAAATTAATCCAGAAGTGAAACAAGTCCATAGGCGTGGATTTTGTTCCATTCTTCTCTCAAACCTGTGAGTCACTTTTACTATAGAAGTGATAACTTTAATTAGAAAACAAAATGAGATTTTATCATGAGCTCCTTAATGCAAATTTCTCATGGAAAAATAAAACGCAAAAATTTAAGAAATTCACCTGTATCCGAACGCATTTTCATTGACAAATCACAACGATTTTCGCACGATCAACAACTTTTTCACTTAGCGAGTCTCGCACGGTAAAGTCGCGATGGAGTTTTTAAATTTTAAATTAATTGTGTGTGCGTTTTTATTGTGCCTATTTGTTAGTGTAAACACGCAATCGGTGCACAGACGTTTTGAATACAAATATTCATTCAAACCACCTTATTTAGCGCAAAAAGATGGATCGGTGCCGTTTTGGGAGTATGGTGGAAGTAAGTGCATGTAGTTTTTGTTACAGTCTATATTAGACGACTGCGCTAAACGTCTTTAAAACCTCATAAATATATCTATCCACCTTTCGGGGCAGTTATACGCTAGTTTTTATTTATAATAATAGAAATATTAAATTAAAAATGCAATGTTTTCAAGTTGCTAATGACATAAAGTAGTATCTTCGACACGTCAGTGAAATCTGTCAAAATAGAAGGAGCAAGCAAGATGGGATTTGGTAAAGGTGTGAGAGAGATACACGTAGGATCATGTTTAAGTTCCACGACAGCAGTCGACGCGGTACTTAAGAAGAGACTGAAAATTATTAAATCAAAAAAATAAACTTAAATTGCCATTGTTATATGAGGAATTACTATAATTATTTTATTCCATCTTATCGATTACTTTCGAATCATTTAGTTAAATCAAACTAAAACATAAAATGCCCTGACTCCTATTAAAGTTTTAATTTAAATAAGTTATAATTTAGCAAAAAAAATTCTAAATTCTATAAAAGTGTACGATTATTATATAGATAATTTAATCGTGCAAATATTCGATTTATAATGTGAACCAATCCATATTAAAACTGAATTACTAAAAAAAAAGGATTCCAAACATGTAAACTAAGACAGTTTCTTCTAATCTTTTAAAATGAGTGAATTTTTTTAAGAGGTAGCTAGCTACTGGTGGTAGCACCTCTTGTGAGTCCACATGGGTACCTACCACAGCCCCGCCTATTTCTGCCGTGAAGCATTAATATGTTTCAGTTTGAAGGGTTTTGCCATGGTACTAAAAACTGAGATTTAGAACCCATGTCTCAAGATCTATGGGCTGCGGTGATTATTTAAAAAAAGGTGGGCCGTGAGCTCATCCACACATCTTAATAAAAAGTATAAAGGCAACATGAATAGATGCCTTTTTAGTAATTTCACACTTTGTGAATCCTTGACCTCATAGAAGACAGCAGACAGTCCAATATCTTCTTCTTCCCTTCTCTCTACACTTTAAGACCAGTTGGTTAGAACTTATAACGAATACATAAAAAGTAAACAATCATGGAAGGATGGCAGTATTTGCATCATGGTGTCTACAGACTCAAGTAACCCCCAACCAAAAACATTTACTTAAAGCTAAACTAGAATATTGGATTTTTGTGACTTACAGACATAATTAAAACAACTTTTACAATTGTCTTTCATTTTTAAAGAAATAAATAATATGATCTAAAAAATTAGCTAATCCAAAACGGATATGTGGTTAGTTGAAGTGGAAGTAAGATATATACAACTGGTATATCAGCAAAGTTTCAGTAAGATCTTGGCTTGTCTAGAACTTGCATAAATTCTATACTTGAACGTTTTGGAACCTCTGGGTCTGCAGAGGGACTTCGGTTCCCTCTGTATTTTGTACCGTATGTTCCATGGGGAGTGCTCTGAGGAATTGTTTGAGATGATACCAGCATCTCGTTTTTACCATCGCACCGCCCGCCACCGGAGTAGAGTTCATCCATACTACCTGGAGCCCCTGCGGTCATCCTCAGTGCGTTTCCAGAGATCTTTTTTGCCACGTACCATCCGGCTATGGAATGAGCTCCCCTCCACGTTGTTTCCCGAGTGCTATGACATGTCCTTCTTCAAACGAGGCTTGTGGAGAGTATTAAGCGGTAGGCAGCGGCTTGGCTCTGCCCCTGGCATTGCTGAAGTCCATGGGCGACGGTAACCACTCACCATCAGGTGGGCCGTATGCTTGTCTGCCTGTATGTATCTGTATCTAAAACTGCAGTAGTAAGTTCTTATCATAGAGGTGAGCGTAATTCGCATTGTTAAGGGCACTTTAAACCTATAACAGTGTCGCAAGCCCAATGGCATTCTCCAAATTATGGAGATGGAGACATATAGTGAATCCATGGATTCTTCAGGATACTTCAGAAGCTTCCTCCATTACCACAGCCAATATAACTATAATAAAAAAATGTGAGATTCAAGCCTTAAGCTTTTAGCTTATATTAATTATTCATGAATACTCTGAGATCATAAATTATATTTTTCTTCAAAATGGTAATACTTATAAGTGTTGGAGTCACAAACTAAAAAAAAACATAACAAGTAGGTGAGTTTCTTTCATAGTTAGTATTACATTAGTAATACATTAAGAATTATTTCGTCTTCACACTACCTTGTCGAATTGCAATTATTGAAAGTTGAAAAACAATTCTGAATGAGTATATGAGTGGCTGTTAGTTGCTCAAGGTAATTGGATATATTTTGTGCAGGATTTTTATTACATGTTTCATTTTTTATTCATTATTATATATCATCTGCTGCACATGTTCACTTTAAGTTGTTACAATTGTTAATATTTATGTAAAGTTGAAATGTAATACTATATGGGTTGTTTAGTGGATTCAATGGCAGCATACTAACCCATAGCCCTAACGTATGGGCTCAATCTACTAACAAAAACTTGACTCACACCCAAGCCGTTAAAAACTGCAATTGAGGCCACGACTTAATATTAATTTCCATTGATCGCCAAATTTAAACATTGTTTCACAAAGCATAAAGTTCAATTTTGATTATTCATCAGAGTTTTCTAATAACATATTTGTGCTGATTGTTATATAGGAAAAACATAATTATGCTGACAAATAATAAAATTGTATTTCATCTGAATCATGACTTCAATAAGCAGTTATTGTTTTTAAAAGGAATACTGCAAATGTTTGCTTTCAAATTTTTTTTTATGAGATCCGTTGAACATGATTTTAAGATATATTAAAAATATGATACGGTACTAATATATACACATTTGTGCAATTACATACAAGTTGACAGCCAATTGAAATTTTTTTCATGTTGTGAATTGAATATAATTCAGCTCAGCTCATTAGAGACTGCTTTGCATGCTTACTGTGAAATAGGAGTGCTATAACAAATTGCTTGACAAAGATCCCATCATGCCCAATTTACCATTGTACTCTCCACCATCAGTGTAGAATTCATCCATACTAATTGGTAGGAACAACTGCGCTTATTCTGAATGCGTTTACAAAGAATATTTTCTATACATCATCCGTCCTTAGAATGAATTCCTTACCACAATAAAATAGCATACTTATGTTCATTAAAACTTCTCATCCACAATATTAATAAATACTGAATCTGTTAGGCATATATAATTTTAAAACTGTATAATTCTAAACGAGCCATTAATAATTATTTCCATAAACCTGTTAGCTCTATAGCCAGTGGTACTCACATGCAAAATACCAGACTGAGACATACAAACATTATCTGCTTAATAAAATGATAACAAATATGACTATAATGTCGGGTGTTTATAGAATTATATTAATCATAATTATAATATAGATAAATAAGATTATGGCAAGAATATTTAATACCCACTAGATACCAGGATATCCTTCGTATTGACTGCCTTTTAGGACATGAAATTATTAACATGACAAGAGCCCTGTCTATTGCAAGGTGAAGTGATATTAGAAATCTTAATCTGATTGAATTCCTCCAACCCAGAATCATGGTACTCGTTGAAGTCCAATAATTCGGCTTACACCACGTGCTGCAGAAATGTTTATTTCCGGTTTGAGACCTCGATGCCACGATCCCTAGTGGAACCTGGGCACGGAAAACTGGTTTTTGTCCAGTATTGTCTCTCTGATGGGTGGAATAGCTTGTAGGTTGTATAACGACGTAGGGAAGATCTTACACCGAGCGTAGACAGACACGACGGTCTGAATATTATTGTTCGGAACTTGTATATATGCAAGCTTATCATGAAAATGTCATAAGTGAGATTCAGGCATCTGTCAGATATCTTGTGTTTTGTGATGGCTACATTCTGCCAACGACCCCTAATTAATAGAGTCTGATGTAAACGCCTCACTGAATTTTTAAAAAATGTGTTCTCTTATGTACTTTTTTTAATCTACAGACGCAATAGCATCAGGGGAAAGCGTGCGTCTCGCGCCGTCGCTTCGAAGCCAGAAGGGGGCTATATGGACCAAACAGCCCATTAACTTTGACTGGTGGGAGGTCGATATCATGTTCAAGATTACCGGCAGAGGCAGAATAGGTGCTGACGGCTTGGTAAGGTCCAATCATTAGTTTTATTAGGTTTCTGCGTTCTGTTGATGAGCGGGCGTGCATGCGGGTCCCACACGCTTCTCACTCGCAAAACGAGATGCATGTATTACTGGAAAACTGTAACTATACTTGAAACCTTAGAACTTGTATCTCAAGGTGGGTGGCGCATTTACGTTGTGGATGTCTATGGGCTCCAGTAACCACTTAACACCAGGTGGGCTGTGAGCTCGTCCACACATCTAAGCAATAAAAAAAAAAGATTCCAACCAAAAGAGACGCTAACAAAACTCGTTTTTATTTTTGTTAAAGAGCCAGTTATCGTATGCGATTTAAAATAATTATTTCATAATTGCATACATACTATTAATTTTTTATTTATCTATATAGATAAAGGCGTAGTCTATATAGATATAGATAAGAGTCGTAGTCTATATAGATTTACTAGCGACCCGCCCCCGCTTCGCTTCGGGAACTGTAATTTATTATTGATAACAGTATTTCTCCACTAATTAATGGATGTTATCATACATATAAACCTTCTTCTATCACTCTATCTATTAAAAAAAACCGCATCAAAATCCGTTGCGTAGTTTTAAAGATTTAAGCATACATAGGGATATAGAAAGCGACTTTGTTTTATCCTATGTAGTGATTTATACAGATAAAGTCGTAGTTCTCGTGTAGATCGGCAGTGTTATATTCTTCTATATCGTTCTCTCACTGCTGAGGATCGCGACCATACGTGACGTTCCTCCACTGTGTTTAATCATGGGTGGCATGAACCGCATGGTAGAGACTACCACCAAGTGCTTCTCGTAGCCGATTTGACCATGCCTCCAGCACGGGCACCAAAGCCTCGAGGGTGCGCCGGCGGGTGACTGAAGTTTGGCCAAGCTCCTCCAGCAACCGCTCCCTCCACTTGGCGTACGCCAGATGATGCGCAACACTACTAGTTCTGACCTAGTGTTATATAGGCAAGATAAAATGCTATTCACGTTCAAGCTTTTTTTTACCACCCGATTTAGAAAACTTTCTTAAAGAAGGACATGTCGGACATGTTAGTGTCCTCCTTGACATGTTAACCGATTACCGGGGCCCATAGACCTTACTACGTAAACGATTCATAAGGACTATACAGGGTGTTACAGAAAAAAACTATAAATTGCTGTATCTTTATCTGTCCAGAATTTCGGGTAATGAAACGGTTGTCTGGAAGAAACCCCGTCATTACGGATCCTCCTGATCCGTTAACGGTGCTTTTAGGCACCACAAGCAACGGTCACCGTCCTCGTCGAACCCGTCGCATGCGACGAAGGGCTCGAGGAGCGAATTAACCCATAGATACAGCCCACTGAGTTTCTCGCCGGATCTTCTCAGTGGGTCGCGTTTCCGATCCGGTGGTAGATTCTGCGAAGCACTGCTCTTGCTAGGGTCAGTGTTAGCAACACTCCGGTTTGAGCCCCGTAAGCTCACCTACACATGTTAGGGTGAAGCTGAAATAGCCTCTCAAGGCTATCAGCATAGGTGGGAAAAAAGGAAGAAATCGCTTTTAGCGATAAGACCGCCTATTGTACAAACGTATCTGCTTGTTGACTGTTTTCTGATGTTAATTGTGTTTTGGTGTTCAATAAAGTATGTTCTCTCTCTCCCCCTTCTCTTCCCCCCCCTCTTTCTCTCTCCCTCTATCTCTAAATAAAAAAAAATGTCTTTTCCCTCTCCAGGCGTTCTGGTATACGACACAGCGCGGCGACTACACCGGCGAAGTGTTCGGCTCGTCGGATAAATGGAACGGTCTCGGAGTCATATTCGATTCTTTCGACAACGACAATAAGCACAACAATCCCTACATCATGGCCGTTGTCAATGACGGCACTAAGGTCTTTGATCATAAGAGGTGAGGCGTTGTATGACAGCCACCGCTACAGCTTAACGAAAGACCGGTGCACTTGTATTGATTTAGTAGGCCGGTACCATTTCTTGTCAGGGGATGTATCTGACACGTGCTCACGAACGACATGAACATTGAAGAAAAATCATTGAGTAAAAAAAAAATTGTGCCCGTGTATCTGAGGTGCACTATTTTTTATTTTTTTTTATTTTTTTTATTGCCTTTGTAGGCAGACGGGCATACGGCCCACCTGATGGTGAGTGGTTACCGTCGCCCATGGACTTCAGCAATGCCAGGGGCACAGCCAAGCCGCTGCCTACCGAAAACCTACACTTGAAAAAAGTGAAACTTCTTTTGCGGTTTATATATAATATTTGTGGTTTTCTTCATTGTTTATCCTTAAATCAAATTTATCTTGTAATAGGGAATGCTGTGTATAAGAGAAATGACCTTTTCACCTTTACATTATATTTTAAATTATATATACTAGAAAAGAATTTTTTTCAAATCATTCATGAGATATTAAAAACAAAATATAAGATAGTTAATATGTTACTGCCATCTACAGGAGCAATGATAAACTAATAACATGCCATCTAATGGCCGACGCCCGTAAACAGTGGTTCGCCAGACGCTCTGTCTATCTTCTCACTCTCTTGCGAGTTAAATTTTACTCCCAGCGCACCTAAAGAAGTTTCACTTCTAAAAACAAAACTACTTAGCTTCCGAGGGTGTCCAGCTAACACCAGGGCGGTCGTAAGTTTGTTTATACACTAACGGCAATAAAAGGCCCGGCCGTGACTTGGAACTCCATTCTTTCAGTGACGGCACCACTCAGCTCCTGTCCGGATGTCTGCGCGACTTCAGGAACAAGCCGTTCCCGACCCGGGCCAAGATAGAATACTACATGAACACGTTAACTGTCTACTTCCACAACGGTAATGCTCTTTTGGACCTTAGATACACTGTGGTTTGTCATTTGCTCTCAGTATTAGGGGGAATTTTTGGCGGGAACGCGAGAAGTGAAGTTGTGTGATTTGTTTTGTTTTGTCTATTCAATGTTTCTTCAGGCTTAAATGTGTAATAACGGTGGTTTATTAACTGTTTAATATCAGTGGGAAAATGAAACAAAGCCGCTGGAGGTAACTTTTCGGGATCCTCCAAAAAGTCCATTGAAAAAATCTCAGTAAATGACCACCATTTTACTGAGATTATATTTCATCCCATATCATCTCATTTAATTTAATTTCATACCAGTTGATTAATGTCTCGAATTAATCATCTTCATTTCATTTCATTTCACTCCATATTTTAATTTTTCATAAAAAATAAGAATATAAATTAAAATAAGACGTGACTTAAAGGTCTTAGTTACCAAGTCATAAAATCACTTAAAAAAATCTCAGTATTAGCGGGAAACTCTCATTCAGGATTAATAAGTCTAGTAATTAAACTAAAATTTCAATTTTATGTTGACCTTAAATCGGCGCGCGAATCTTGTTCAAATGACGTCAGGTCACACCTGCGCCTTTGGGGATTTCAATGGGTGTGCCAATGCTGCACGCCACAATACTATCACTGCACACTTATCTGATATGTCTCTTCGTGCTGACAACGCTTCCTGAGAACTTCTACTGGTGGTAGGGCTTATTGTGAGCCCGCACTTGTAGGTACTACCACTCTGCCTATTTCTGCCCGGAAGCAGCAATAAGTTCTGGTTTTAACAGTGACATTAATATTGATGATATTTGTGGGCTCCGGTAACTGCTTAACACTACAGGGTGGGTAGTGAGTCTAAAAAAAACAAGTTTCCAATATGTAGGAAATTCATTGTATTTGTATGTGGTTGAAATATTAACAATCGAGGAATGAATTGCCTTTAGGTGGGTGGCGCATTTACGTTGTAGATGTCTATGGGCTCCAGTAACCACTTAACACCAGGTGGGCTGTGAGCTCGTCCACACATCGTACCAGGTAATTGGTACCAGGAGCGTGGGGCGTCCTTCAACCAGGTGGATCGACGGCTTAGTGCGCACAGCGGGAAGTCGTTGGATGCGGAAGGCGGAGGAGCGCATTCTGGGGAAGACCTATGTCAAGCAGTGGGCAGATAAAGGCTGATGATGATGATGATGAGAAATGAATAAGATAACTATACTGAGACCTTAGAACTCAATATCTAAAGATGGCGCCATTTACATTGTCTATGGGCTCCAGTAACCTCTTAACACCAGGCGGGCTGTGATCTCTTTCATAAAAAATAATATAAGCAATTGAAAAAATGAGCGTTGGTTCACGTGTCCACAGGAATGACGAACAACGAGCAGGACTACGAGCTGTGCTTCCGCGCCGAGAACGTGGTGCTGCCCCGGGGCGGACACTTCGGTCTGTCCGCCGCCACCGGGGGGCTGGCCGACGACCACGACGTCATCCACTTCCTCACCACCGCTCTGTACTCCACGCAGCAACCAGGTATAGAACATCTCTACTCTTTTAAGACGCGACATTTATCTTTGTAATTAAAGGTGCGTTATATTTGGTATCACCATCAGGGACGGCTTTCACTAGGATGGGGCCCTTGGGCACACAAGAATTTCAGGCCCTTTTGGAAAGTAAAAAAGCGAATTATAATAACATTTTTTTACTGAGTATGAGACCATTTATTATAGGTAATCAAATACAGTATGATATAATATGTCATTAATGATATAAGAATGCAGGTTTTTTGGTTACGATTTCGGTAACGGTTTCTTTCGGGATGTCTGTTGAGCAAAATCTTCTATTATAGGCATAGTATATGCCTTGTAAATACCTTCTGATTACTGATTTGTGAAAAAAGTGTATTGTGCCCGACAAAAATGTTTTGAGAATAAGCGTGTGAGAGAAATTGTCGGTCTTTCGGGGCCCCCTGAGAATGGAGGCCCTGGGCACGGGCCCCGTGTGCCCTTATGGTAAAGACGGTATTGATCACCATCAAGAGTCCCATGTTTCTAATTAAACTTCAATAATAAAGCTTACTCCATTCACATAGCTGAAGAACTTGTTTTGTTATAATACTTCCTTTAAAAGTTATAAAATGGTGAGCTTAACTCAACAATTGAGTTATCTACCAGCTAACCGTTCTTAAAGACGGAGAGCTTTACATAATATAGCTTTACATACATACTTTGATTTATTTTTTCTAAATTTTAACCTTAAAATGGTTCTTCTGTGAAGTTGCAAAAAATGTCACTTAAACTAAATATTCTCTCATCACTCGATATATTGGAACAAATATAATCCGACATCAGGAGTAGGTACTTCTTTCACAATGACATATATACATTATATACACAGTACATGGATGCGCGCGGTGCGCCCGTGCTGTCATATGTCGTGTTGTAAACGCGCAATGATAATTGAAGTCGGCTCGCACACGTCACGCGAGGTCGTTGACCCCACATATCGGCTGGTCATATTAGATACGTGATGGTGCGTTTCCAGAGGTCTTTCTTGCCACGTACCATCAGGCTATGGAATGAGCTTCCCTCCACGGTGCTTCCCGAGCGCTATGACATGTCCTTCTTCAAACGAGCCTTGTGGAGAGTAATTAAGGGTAGGCAGCGGCTTGGCTCTGCCCCTGGCATTGCTGAAATCCATGGGCGACGGTAACCACTCACCATCAGGTGGGCCGTATGCTCGTCTGCCTAGAAGGGCAATAAAAAAAATACAAAGCTAATAAATATTGTGCACCCTATGAGGAATAGTAACAATTCACCGAGAAGTAAACTCGTGTTATGTTGATCAAGGCACCCAGCAGATCAGCTCCGATGAACAGCAGAAACTGTCGCAAGAATACCAGGAGTACCAGAAGAAACTGGAACAGCAGAAGGAGGAATACAGGAAGGAACATCCCGATGAGGTACGGATCAACGTCTAGTAACTATACTGAGACCGTAGAACTGATATCTCAAGGTGGGTGACGGCATTTAGGTTGTAGATGTCTATGGGCTCTAGTGACCACTTAACACTTCACTGGTGGTAGGACCTCTTGTGAGTCCGCGCGGGTAGGTACCACCACCCTGCCTATTTCTGCTGTGAAGCAGTAATGCGTTTCGGTTTGAAGGGTGGGGCAGCCGTTGTAACTATACTGAGACCTTAGAACTTATATCTCAAGGTGGGTGGCGCATTTACCTTGTAGATGTCCATGGGCTCCAGTAAGCACTTCATACCAGGTGGGCTGTGAGCTCGTCCACACATCTAAGCAATAAAAAAAACACCAGGTGGGCTGTCAGCTCGTCAGCCCTTCTAAGCAATAATAAAAAATTAAAAAAATGTCAAAACCGCTGATCTACATTTGGGTGCCAAAAATGCATTTGTCCCTTTCTATGTTGTAGGTGCGCGACAAGGACAGCGAGTTCGACGACTGGTTCGAGTCGGACGGGCAGCGCGAGCTGAGGCAGATCTTCCAAGGACAGGCGCAGATACACGACGTGCTGAGGGACTTGAACAAGAAAGTTGACGAGGTACGCCGGTAGATGGCGCTGTTTTACATTTTTTGTCGTGCTCGTCGCGTATTATACAGTTGAGGCTTGGATTTAGCTCAAGTGTCAAGATTGGTGGTGGCATTCAGGCAGTCATAGATAATACACATAAGTTATAGATAAGCAACTTAAGCACTCAACAAAAATGTATACGGGTGCCGGTCACTAGATGGCCTCGCTTCGATTAGTTTCTCATTGCTCCTGTAGATGACAGTAGCATATTACTTATATTTTATTTTAAAAGAAGGATTTTGCAAATTTTCAGAAGCCACAAATTTATAAAATTTAATCAATTTGTCTATAACAAATAAATGCGTGTATGATTTATTAATTTTTTATTTTCTGTGTTTAGTTATACTGAAATTAAATGCCTTAACTTTAACATACAAGTTTAGGGGCATCCGCTACTAGATGTCGCTAGTTTCCATACAGAAAAAAATACAAAAAATGTTTGTCTTAAAGTATTGCAGTTTCAAAGCCTTGCAGGCAGTAATGCTTCTGACCTTCAGTAATAGCTGTGAGCTCGTTCAAAAATAAGAAATCAATATATAAAACAATCTTACACTGCCACAACCACATCATACTTTCATCATTGTCTTGGTCCTAATCGTTTTCTGAAAGAAAGTGACAAGATCGCTCACTATTTTTTTTTTCTTCAGTTAATGATTAGTAATTTACTGGTGGTAGGACCTCTTGTGAGTCCGCACGGGTGTATACCACCGCTCTGCTTATTTCAGCCGTGCATCAGTAATGCGTTTCGGTTTGAAGAGTGGGGTAGCCGTTGTACTGTAAAAACTGAGTCCTTAGAACTATTGTCTTAAGTTAGGTGGCGGCAATTACGTTGTAGATGTCTATGGTCTCCGGTAACCACTTCGCATCGGGTGGGCCGTGAGCTCGTCCTAAGCAATAAAAAATATATATAATATACAACATTATACATTTTTGGGTAGAACTAAATATGTATAGAATGCACTATTATCTCCGTCAGAGTTTTATTATTATTGTCCTATGTTCCAGGTGATTGGCAAACAGATGAACTCCATCTCCATGCTCACAGCAGTGTACAGCCAGGCCCAAGGACAGCCCCAACAGGTCGCCCCGGGACAGATCCCTCAACAGGTACACAATATACACAGCGTACTACTATAGGCTTTTACAGTACTCACACAAAATATCAAATAATTAAGACTGCATCTGTTGATTATATTTTTTTATAATATATATTAATACGTGAAGCAAAAACTTTATATCCCTTTTTACGAAAATTGCGCGGACGGAGGAGTATGAAATTTTCCACACTTATAGAGAATATAGAGAAGGAGTGCAGAATGGTAATATTTTTTTTTAAATAATGCGTAACAGATACATTAAATCAATAAAGAAAACATTACACACACCACCTACCATGCATTTGACGCACACACGCATGCATACTATTTATTGTCAAATTTTTGTTCTTGACGTCTGTTGTCAAATTGAGAATAGATTAAATATTGCTTGTCTTTATTAACATTTTTTTTATAGTATAGTATTGGCGAAATTTGTAATTATAGAAGTATAAAATACAATCTTAATAGTGTACAAACTTACAATTCCAATTAATTTTAGTCGAATTTCGATTACTGCGGGACCTCTAGTAATTTATTTATTTCTATCTTAAAGGTATAGTATAAATACAAATAGAAATTAACCTTATAATTTATTTTGTAAACCTTTGAAAGAGCTGAGGTCTGTACTAGGTTCAAAGACCTGTATTACTGATCTCCAGATCGCGATACATTGCTCGCTTACAAAATTAGAATATGAGTTGTGGAATATTAATAAATTGAATCTCAATTTTAACAAGCGCTTGTGCCTTTTTATGTGGCTAATTTTAAATTTGATCAATGCGGCCGTTTACTGTGGCCTCAAATGACGTCACACATAATGAAGTCGTGCACGCCACGCTGTGTAAATGTGTGGTGATAAGCTATACTTACTTCATATTGTAAAGAGGAAAGATTTGTTTGTTTGTTTGTATTGAATAGGCTCCGAAACTACTGAACCGATTTGAAAAATCCTTTCACTGTTTGGAAGCTACACTATTCCCGAGTGACATAGGCTATAATCATCTTTTTTTTAAAAAATTAGGGATCCTTACTAAAACTCTAATAATGTAACCCAAGGTGTAAAAAATTACCTAAAATATTCTTTACATCGCGTGCCCTGCGAAAACTATTGATGATAGAATAAAATAATGTACTACGACTTTGTAGAACAGATTATTATTTACAAAAAGTGCCGAGACAGCATATATCTAACTATTATAGTTATGCCACAGTAAGTGTTCTTTTATTTAAAAAAATAAAACGACGTCAAATATCGTTGAAATTTTTGTTAAAGACCCGAGCAGAGCCGGAGCGGGCCGTTAGTGATATATATCTATATATATAAAAATGAATTGCTGTTCGCTAGTCTCGCCAAAATTCGAGAACGGCTGGACCGATTTGGCTAATTTTGGTCTTGAATTATTTGTGGAAGTCCAGAGAAGGTTTAAAAGGTAGATAAATATGAAAATGCTCGGAATTAAATAAAAAGAACAATTTTGTTTTTCCTTCGATGTATTCCCCGTAGGACGGATTCCTTTTGTTTGTTTTAAGTTTATTTTATACAAAAGCTTAGGACTTTTAGTTATCGATTGAGGCACTACGAAGTCTGCCAGGTCAGCTAGTGATATTATATAAGGTCTGCCCGTTTGTCTATTGTCTTTCAGTGGATAGTACTATAAGTATTCACCAAGATGGGGCAGGTCATCTGTTTGGAATGTCCCGCTGATGCCATCTATGCCGTTACAGATGCCGAGTATGCCGATCGGCCGCCACGACTGGGACGCGTTGGTGGCCAACAATCAGCTCATGATCAACACCATAGCCGAGCTCAAGTGAGTGTTGTCTTACTTTTTCATTTTTATTTTTCCTACCTGAGCTGATGGTCTAGAGAGACCATGTCAGCGTTGCCGGGCTAGTAGGTGAGCTCACGGGGCTCAAACTTGACGACGTTGCTATCACGAACCCTAGCAAGAGCCGTGCTTCGCAGAATCTACCGCCGGATCGGAAACGCGACCCACTGAGAAGATCCGGCGAGAAACTCAGTGGGCTGTGTCTATGGGTTAATTGACGATGACCGGTGCTTGTGGTACCTAAAAGCACTGTTAGTGAATCGGGAGGATCCGAAATGACGTGTTTGGGGCAACGTCGACTGTTTACCATTTGGTCCGCAGGATCGGGAATGTAGTTACCGGCGGCCACGATGAGAGGGTTCTCGTGTCGTGCCGCTTTATCGAAATGGTTGTCTTACTGCTGTGCGAAGTGTAATATGCCGCGTGCCTTGAGGCGTGAGGTCGATTTCTCAGTTGCGTTGCACGGCGGCTGCCCCGATACCATCACCAATCATCCTGCCTTGAAAAGGGGCTTGAAGAGTTAGACAATGGTATCCGGCGTGCGCTAAAAAGATGCCTATTATCAATGGACCTGGACTCTGGCGTTCATCACTAGATCAAAAATTGAACATATTTTTTTGTATTTCAAATAAATATCCCTCGCACAGTCTCTACACAGACAGACCTGAGGGTCCTGGCGGGTCAGATAAACGTATTCGCTAATTTCCACCAGGGGCTTCGTGATCGAGGTGGCTCGCAAGTCTGACTCGCTGCTGGCGGCCAGCGGCGGTACTGCTGCGGGGGGCGGCATCAACCCTCAGTTCCTGACAGAGTTGAGGGACTCCATCACCAACATCAAGCAGACTGTCGGCGGCGTCTCGCAAAGGTGAGCACTAAGCTGTTTCTTGCTACCTAACATCTGAGTAATCACTCCGACGTAATCACTCCGGTTAGACATGTCTAAGTACTGTGTGCCATGTAGTACGCGTAATATAGTAGACATGTGTAAGTAATGCGAGTGATATTACTCCGGTAATATTACTCTACGATGTAATGCAACATCACACATTACGCGAAGGAAACAAACATCACACTATCACCCTCAGAACACTATTACTTCTAGCGAAGCTATCACCCAACATGTTTCTTTCTTTGTCGTGTAATGTTGCTTGATACACGAACGGAACCGAGCGAGCGAGGCAGACCGATCTACGCAAAATAAATGAGCAAGCGACACGGAATTATTCCTAGTGATTTTGAACCGTATGCCCTGGCCGCTAGGTACATTTTTATACCTATGGTACGTCTGAATTTTAATATAGGTATTTGTGTTTATATTTTTCATGGACCAGCCGGTAGCTCCCCGCAAGTAGTTACTTAATTTTTTATTCGCAACTTTTGTAAAATCGCTAGTCGCTCGTAATTGTTTAGTAATATTTCATATTAATTTTTGTGTTTGAATTACTTAAGCACTTGTTTGAAGATAGTTTTATTATTTGCATTATCGTCGAGCTCAATTTGCAATCTAAGTCGCCATATGAAATCTGTTCATCCCGCAATAAATTATATTAAGTAAAAAATAAAATTATTATATTATTAAATAAGTCAATCTCTGTCAAGTAATATAACAGTGTATTACAATACAAAGTATGAACACATCACTTAAGTAATGATTCGGGTGTATAGATACAATGTATTCGTCACAGTATCTATTGAACGCACCGAGTAATGTTAAGAGTGATGTGTAATGTTTTCGAGTAATATCACCTGTCTGCAAAAGTGATGTCATATCACATTACATTGAGAAGTGATGTTTTGCGCAAGTCTATAATATAGCGCGACCGCGTACTGCAATAACCTATTACCCGACAAAATTCAGCATGTCACATAATACGAAACATGTTTTTTTTCTTAAGGGATTTTATGACCTGGTAACTAAGACCTTTAAGTCGTATCTTATTTTAATTTATATTCTTATTTTTATGAAAAACGCCATCTATCGACGAATAACTAAATCATTTTTTTTTTTCAAAAATTTAGAGTAGTTGACTGACTGTATAAGCGAATTTAAACTTTAGGTGCTGAGTTTTTTTTATTTTTTTATTGCTTAGTTGGGTGGACGAGCTCACAGCCCACCTGGTGTTAAGTGGTCACTGGAGCCCAAAGACATCTACAACATAAATGCGCCACCCACCTTGAGATATAAGTTCTAAGGTCTCAGTATAGTTAATGGCTGCGCCGCCCTTCAAACCGAAACGCATTACTGCTTCACAGCAGAAATAGGCAGGGTGGTGGTACCCACCCGCGCGGACTCACAAGAGGTCCTACCACCAGTAATTACGCAAATTATAATTTTGCGGGTTTCATTTTTATTACACGATGTTATTCCTTCACCGTGGAAGTCAATCGTGAATATTTGTTGAGTACGTATTTCATTAGAAAAATTGGTACCCGCCTGCGGGATTCGAACACTGGTGCATTGCTTCAACACGAATGCACCGGACGTCTTATCCTTTAGGCCACGACGACGACAGAAGCTATTAAAAAGCTATCTAAAATGTTTTTCCGTGCTTCAGGTTAATGGCCCAGGCGCAGGTAGCCCCGCCCCCGTGTCCTGCCGCGACCTGCGCTAGTTTCACCGCCATCCTGCTGGTGGCAGCGATGCAATTAGCGCTCATGTTCATATATGCCCTGTACAAGTAAGTAACTTGATGCCGGAAACACGAAACGCAAATAAACTATGGATTAGGTACCATTAACTCACCTATTTCTCACTCATCTAGAGCAATAAAAAAATTTCTTTAAAAATAGTGTAAGAAAAAATGATTTTATTGTCAAAAAGCATGGGTTGCTTTTCAGGATATTATCAAAATAATCCTTCTACTCGTATCTTTCCTAAAATATTTATAACTACTGATACCATGCACTGATACACTGACAAAAGCGTATTTTGTTAGTTTTTTTAAACTTTAATTTATTTTTCATTTTTTAGTTGAATTTAAATTTTTCAATTTTTTTTTGTACTGAATTGACATCGGTCCGTAATAAGTATACCAAGTTTCGAGTCAATCCGACGTTTTGAAGGAGGTCAAAAACATTTTCAAAGATTCCGTTACAAACACACATACTTATGAAGCTAATAAAAGCGTATTAAAAAGGAGGGTAATTTCACTTTTATATAGAAAATGTAACCGAAAATATTTACTTTATTCTTTTTCTTTTCAGAGAGAGGAAAGAGGCCCAAGCAAAGAAATTCTTCTAAACTGAAAGTCTGTAATTAAATTCTATTTATATTTTATCTGTGGTATGTTGGCGGTGTGACCAGATTGCTCACTGTCTATTTGGTATAGTGTTGAGAGTCTGTTAATCACAGTCCCGAGTTATATTTAAATCATTGTACGAAGTCATGCTCACTGGTGCTCAAAATGTATTGAATATTAAACAAATAAAATCCTTGTGATTTTTATATCCGGAAATACAAAAATAAGTGTCATGGATAAAAAATAAATAGGATCTAATCAAATTGTCCTTAGTTTAAAAAAATCGTGGATACCAAAAGATTGTGTTGGGGTTTTGTACTTTAAACATATAAATGGTGTAATCAATGTTTCGCTGTCATCTTGTAGACTCACTGTGTGTCACCACGTGACAAATGTGCTTAGTGCGAGTTTTTTAACGTTCTCGATAGCGTAAAAGTTAACTGTATGGACTTTGAACGTTTGCCTACGTTTGCCGCTAGGGGCGCTGTTCCAGCTGCATACATATTTGAGTTAACTTTGACGCTATCGTTGCTAGGTCATGTGACTTGATTGGTCCTAGGTTGGAAATATGGTTCGCTTGGTTGTGCATATATTCACCATCAACCTAAAATTGCATGAGTTCTTTCTCGAAGGACTTTTCTCGATATATTGTCACAAAACGGTTTCAATGTAGTTTGACACATTGTGGTATCTGTGGTTCGTATTAAAACAAAACCTTTTTACTGTTCTGTGCGTGTGAAGGAGATGAGACTATTTGTAAATATTACTAGTACGACTTTTTTGTTTGTCTCTCTTAGGAATTTAATTATTATTTTTCATAAATATTTTTTTTATTTTTGTTACCTTTTTTTTTCTTTAATTTATTTTGTACGTTTGTGGCTATCCGTGGTTTCAGATTAAAATATTTCAATGCAGTTTATTAATTTTATAATATATATGTATGTATTTGGGTAAATGGTTTAGCTAGCTTCGAAAATTCGTGTCAATGTAGGTTCCGAGAGTCATATAATGTTTCAGGTTTATAGAACACGCGTCACAGGTGACTGTGACCAATTACTAGTATAAATGAATGAGTGAGGTGACACCACAAATCTAGTTGTGTGTCTCTTTCTTGAGGTCTTTTTTTTGACTTGAGTTTTGCTGAAGTATTCTTTACTTGTTAGATTCGCGTCAGAATGTGGAAATGTGAATGTGTAAAAATGGTTGTAATTAAAAAAATATTTTTTGAAAAATTGTGTTTTATTTTATATTGAATATTTAAAGTAACAGTAATATATACGTACCTATTATCATGTACGTTGTTAAAATTATTCTAAAAACTTAGTATAGATTTTTTTCCTAAACATGGACATTTGCGTTACTTTACTAAGCATTGTAGAAATAAATATTGTTCTTTAAACTAGATTTTGAGGATTGCTTATGTCCATGAGAGATGGTTAGTGCTTACCGTCAGAGATCCGATTGTTTCTTTGGTAATAAATGGCGATAGATGGCAACAATGACTCGTGTTACTGGGTTTAACTCGAATTGATGATTTGATTCAATGATGAATTTAGTTGTATTGAATCCATGTTGGTAGAGCATTAATCTTCGCAAAAAAGCACTTAGGTAGTACCGAACAACACTAGTTTTGAAACAATAATACACTTGCGAATTGTAACTAAAGTTAAACTACCTGCTTAAACTAGGCTGTATGCATTACGAAAACTAGGCCAAAATAAAGAAAAGAAATAAACTGACATTATAAAATTCGCCAAATTTAAATTAACTTTTAATGTTTTTGATTTTGGGGTAGATGAAATTTTGCAGAATTAGCGCATAAATTTGGTGTACAACTAAATTTTTTGGATTAAACAATGGCAAATAAACAGCCCAAACCGGAGTTAGTAGCCATATATCGTCTAGAATTTTATAAGAAACAGAAAAATTGGAAGTTTTCCTGTGATTCGAAATCAAAGTCCAAGAGTTTGAAATCGAAGTGAGTTTTGTCTTTTACCATTTCCATATTTGTATTACAATATCGCAAAAGAATTTCCTCCTCACGTCTGAGGCTCGTGATAATGTGAACCATCAGAATTATGTTGTGGCGTTTAATAACTAATATAATATAATAACTTAGAATTGTTTATGCCGCCACAACAATAAAATTTCTATTGTTCCAACTGTGGTGTTAATTACATAAAACACGACTTTACGGCGAAATAAAGAAGGGACTATATAGACGCCCTCATTGTGTTTATCATCATCATCATCATCATTCCTTCCTATTACCCTCTGCTGGGGTGTTGTAGGGCTCGAATCAAATTTTTCCGTTTACATCGGTCTTGGGCAGTCTGTTCTAGCTCCTCCCACGTCATGCCCAAGACCCCTAGCTCCTGCTCCACCGAGCGACGCCAAGTTGTTCTGGGGCGGCCTCTCTTCCTCTTGCCAGTTTTTTGTTTACAGTGGTTCAAAACCATTTATAACTAATTATAATGAACATGATGACGAGCTGTTCATTTCTAATAATTCGTTTAGCCAGTAGACCCCATTTATGCCCCAAAAAGCTATTGTCCGTGAGTTTGACGCCAAGTATCTTCGAGCTGACTACTAAAAACATACAACAGATATATTGATCTTGACGTATTTTCATGCAGACTGGCCACTAGAGCCGGCAGTTCTACCAGAAATAATACCGTAGTGCTCACCCTAAGAAACAGCCGGGAATAGTACTTGGCTTTTGAATCGTACTCAATTACCATAAGGTACGAAGAATGGTGGTTCGTATGTTGAATCAACAGAGTCACTGCCAAAGGCTTCTAGAAGGTGTTTGATTTGCATTGCTGACGTCCATGAGTGACGGTAACCACTTATCAGGTGGGCCCTATGCTCGTATGCCTGCTCGGGCAATGAAAAGAAAAAAAAAACTCCTTTATTCAATATAGGTGCAATACAGGGATGTCTGTTAAGAGAAAATCATTCATCAGTATCTATTTAGTAACCATTCATGAAAAAAGTAAAAATTGTTAAACATAATTTGCAGAAAAACACATAACACAACATACAATATAAAAGCCGAATCCTCAGACTCTCCATTGAACAGGGGACTCATTGAGGAGACACAAGGTATAATCAACAAATTTTTTTTTTGGCTAATCCAATTGTTATGAAATTTAACGTCAAATAAATTCAAATTTTAAAATACAGGCTGAGTGTAATTATTATCTGATCATGAATAAACAAGGATGATAGGTAGGGTTCTTTTAATCTTTGACTCCAAAGATATTGATCTTAAATGTCATTTAATAAATATATAATCAATATAAATAATTTATATAAAACATTTAATAATCAATATAAATAAATGACATACAGCAAAAATTTATTATGATTTATTTATACTGTATATTTTTGCTGCAAACCAATCAGTTTTGGTCTGAAGGTTATGACAAGGAAGACCCTCAAGCCATCTATTGTTCTGGCTTGAAGAGTACAACAAGCCTTTGTAGTTGTCATGAGGTAATCATGGTTTATAGGAGCTAAAAAGTTATACCACAAACTTGAACATTGAATTATTGATTGAAATTATATTAAAAGCAAGAAACACAATTTTTTTATTGCTTTGATGGGTGGAAGAGCTCACAACCCACTTGGTGTTAAGTCATTACTGGAGCCCATAGACATCTACAACGTAAATGCGCCACCAACCTTGAGATATAAGCTCTAAGGTCTCAGTATAGTTACAAACAGGCTAGTGTGAAAATTAAAATCTTCTATTTACAGAACAAAATGATTATAATTGTAAGCATATGAAAATAATGACAGAAACATTTGTCTGCAATGATGTGCCAGAGAAAATGTTGAGGGAAAGAGCATCATCTGCTGAGAATTGGCAGAATTCAGACCACGTAAGATGTTTTTAATAGTAAAGGAATATGACATATAGTCATATCAAGTCCCACATACATACCGCGCATGTCGTTTAGATGCAGTTTGGCCTCGGCCTGAAAAAAAAGTGTTAATAAGCTCTTTCAAGTTGAGCATTGTGAGCTCACTTACCCATCCGCGCATAGTTGGATTAACTCTTAGGTTACCAACGATTAGGTAGAGAAAAAAGTTTACACATATTTATTGATCAAATATTTAGTGTATGTCATCTGCAATATATTCTTGACAAGACAAGACATATTGCGTTAACTTATAATGTGCAGCAAGTGAATGAGGAAGAAATATGGAAAGACGCCGTCGATGGTGACAGCTGCGGAGTGGACATAAATGAGTGGTTCGGTGACAATCAGGCCTGGTGCCACCAGCCACGAGCTGAGGAATCTGCTATAAGTGAGTGCTCATGGTTAGAATTTAAACTAAATATCGGAGACACTACAACCTTGCCTGGCAATATTTGATCATGACCCTTGAGACGACGACCTCATGTCTCAATCTTGGGGACATCGCGTTCCGATATTAGCTCGTTCAATCATCTACACTAGGGCTGTGCAAACTACACACCTTTGTGGGCTAATTAAATTTACCACAAAAGCACAGAAAAATATACATATTTTCAAAAATAAAATACTTTTTTTTATTGCTTGGATGGGTTGACAAGCTCACGGCCCACCTGGTGTTAAGTGGTTACTGGGGCTCATAGACATAGACAACGTAAATGCGCCACCCATCTTGAGATATGAGTTCTAAGGTCTCAGTATAGTTACAACGGTTGCCTCACCCTTCAAACCGAAACGCATTAATGCTTCACGGCAGAAATAGGCAGGGCGATGGTACCAACCTGTGCGGACTCACAAGACGTCCTACCACCAGTATTGTGATTAGTGGCAGAAAAGTGTGCTGTTTTGTTAATGTTTGAAGGATATAGCGATTAGATGGACGTTTTAATTGATTGAACATTTTTGTGTAGTTAGTTTTATTGTAATCGTTGGTTTCCCGCAGGTCCGTGGAGTGGCGAAGCCCTTCCGCGCAGTCCGGCCAGACTGTACAGGGAACTGGATGCTGAGCTTTGGAAGTACGAGGTAAATCATGGACTCAATAATCCTAACGTCTCGTGTAGGGTGTCCATGATTTTTTTGTCAAAACTTTTTTATTTATTTATAAAATTAAAGTATCTGTTTGTATTGCCAAAATAAATGCATTTTACTAAATGTATGTAAGGGTCCGTTAGAAAAAAATAAAAACGTTATTGCTTAATTTTTTTTAGTTAGTCTGTCTGATCCTTCCGATTAATCTCCCATATGTTGTTCTTGTTGTTGGCAACAATATAATGATGGTAAAAATAGCGAAATTAAATTGTATGAGTAGTTTTGATTTCGCCCACGACTCGTGACAATTGAGGAAGATACAACGGTATAACTACGGAGCACGTTTACCGTGTTGAGGTCTGCGCACAGACGGAGGGGCGGCGCTCCGGGAGCTCCTCCTCCACCGACAGCCTCGCGGAGTTCACGCGCGGGGCCCACGTCGCGCCGCACTCCTCCGAGCTCGATCTCACTGACGAAGGTAACCGGTGTTTCAACGCTTAAAGTCGATGTAGAACAGTGACGTCATAATTTATTAGAACTTTACGTTGTGAAAGTTATCACAACGTCACACTTGTACATTGAACACCCAGTGTCGCGCAGCGAGCTATGGAGAGGGCTATGCTTGGTATTTCTCTACGAGACCGATCCGTAGAAGAACCAAACTTGCTGACATAGTCCGTAGGATTAGCACGCTGAAATGGCAATGAGCAGACCACATTGCGCGAAGATCGGACGGCCGATGGTGCAGAAGGATCCCCGAGTGGAGACCAAGTACTGGCAAGCGCAGTGTGGGACGGTCACCTACGAGATGGACCGACGACCTGGTAAGAACCGCTGGGTCACGTTGGATACAGGTGGCAACGGACCGGCCGTACTGGAGATCACTTGGAGAGGCCTACGTTCAGCAGTGGACAGTGTAGGCTAAGATGATGACGATTGGACACCCGAGTGTGCGGCGGAATTTAAGATTAAGTGTTTTGAAATAAATAAAGTTTGTTGAATACCGTGGTTGTTTTGTTAGCGGTCTCCAAATTCGTCCCCCGCCCGGGGACCGCGGGGGTCCGATAGAATGTTCGACCGTCCAACGTTTGGAGTCGTTGTCCCAGGTTGCACCTGCAGCCTGGCCACAGACCGGTCGTCGCTGGCGAGACTGACGTCCAGACAGCTCGCGGCCGGCGTCAACCGACATGCCAAGACACTGTCAATGTTGCTCAAAGAAACCGCCCTTAGGGATCGGGTGAGTCTCCAATAGTGTATCAGGGAAGCTTGATGAGCGATTAAAAGAAAAATAAATGTTGAGTGTATACTGTCGCTCATGATGTCAGTAATGCCGGAGGAATGCCACGCGGCTGTCTGCTGCTGAGGACTCGGGATAGCGCTCTGGAAACACCGCTTAAGGAAGATTAGAGTTGGTTGGTGCGTGGACAAAGAGACGGTAAAGCGGTGCGTCCGCCCCCCACTGCCACTGTCGTGTAGCACACATATTGCTCCACTAAAGATAACACAGCTACTTTTAAAATAAGATTAAGATTTTTTTATTTTTTTTATTGCTTAGTTGGGTGGACAAACTCACGGCTCGCCCGGTGTCAAGTGGTTTCCGGAGCCACCCACCTTGAGATATAAGTTCTGAGGCCTCAGTACAGCGGCTGCCCCGCCCTTCAAACCGAAACGTATTACTGCTTCACGACAGAAATAGGCGGGGCGTACTCACAAGAGGTCCTACTGTAAAAGTACGGTAAAAGACTGCTATCTCTTGTCTTAAAATGAGTTATATACGAGTGTTAGATCCGTTGAGGTCTCGGGGACCGTCCCCTCTGCCCCCTACCACTGAGGTTGGTATTGTCTTGCGGTGACGTCCCCAGTGTATCAGCCATTAAACAACTAGTTTTATTCCAGGCGTCACAGGCGGCCGCCCACCCGGACATTCCTACCCGGGACTGTCACGGCGGCGCGGGGGGGCGCGGGAGGGGCAGGCTTCACGAAACGCGCGTCATAGGAATAGGAATGGGCAGACCGTATAGACTACAATAGGCAGTGCGTGGCACACAGTAGCAACGGAGACGTGTAAATATAATCTTGATAAGGGTGTGGAGTGTATATTCAGCTCAGATAGAGGGGGGACCACGGACACCGCGAGCCCGGGTGTCTCGGTCAAGCCCTCAACACGGAATGGCGGTAGTCGAGAAACACCGCACACGTCCACAGATGACCGTGGTCCCTATATGTTATGTACATATTATTATATATAATGCGAATAGAAGGGTTTGTTTGTTTAGCACGCATTGCCCTTAAATTCCCGTCGTGATAAACGAATTTACGGTAATTGTACATCGCACTCTTAGCAACTACACGAGTGGACATCTTTGACAGCCCAAACTGTCCATAGATGTCAGTGACCTGGTTTCATTCAGTTGTATCTTTTGGCACTACTACGAAACGCCTGTAAGCAGGGGGGTTGGGGGGGGTGTTAAGAGTTTAGGGACATTATATGAGATGCTCAAATGTCGTAGGGCCAAGATTTGTGCCACAAATAAAACTGATCAAGATACGGATCCAAGAAATATATATTACAATTATTATTTTTATTACTTAGATGAGTGGACGAGCTCACAGCCCACCTGGTGTTAAGTGGTTACTGGAGCCCATAGACATCTACAACGTAAATGCGCCACCCACCTTGAGATATAAGTTCTAAGGTCTCAATTATAGTTACAACGGCTGCCCCACCCTTCAAACCGACACGCATTACTGCTTCACGGCAGAAATAGGCAGGGCGGTGGTACCTACCCGTGCGGACTCACAAGAGGTCCTACCACCAGTACAAAATACGAAATCAGCTGATATGCGGGTCAACGCCCCCGCGATCTCTCGCGTGACGCGCATCTGGTTTCAGATTACATTGTGGCTAACGAAATACAAATCTATTCGCGAATCAATTTCCTTTACTTTTGTGGACCAAATAGATGAATAGTGTGATTGTATTTAACGTTGATTTTTTTGTCTCGATTCAAAAATAAAGCTTAATTAAACAACACTATTTTGTTTATGTAAGTAAGCATTTAAGTTACAATTGTTACTTTGAAAAAAAATATATATATGTAAAATTTCAAGGATTGAAATTTGTTAACGTTAAATTAAATAAGATGTTAATGATGTTATATAGTTTTGTAAAATGACTAGAAAATAAACCAAAGATGAGTTGAATCTGATAAATAAACTTTTTTTTATTATCCTGTAGACCTGTGAATACAAAGAGGTTGTAGGTTTACAAAAACATGCAAGTAAAAATGTTGAGAGATGATGGTTGTTTTTTTTTATTATTATTATTTTTTATTTATTTATTATTGTGATGGGTGCACAAGCTCACAGCCCACCTGGTGTTAAGTGGTTACTGGAGCCCATAGACATCTACAAAATAAATGCGCCACCCATCTTGAGACATAAGTTCTAAGGTCTCAATGTAGTGACAACGGCTGCTCCACCCTTCTAAAGGAAACGCATTACTGCTTCACGGCAGAAATAGGCGGGGCGGTGGTACCTACCCGCGCGGACTCACAAGAGGTCCTATCGCCAGTAAATATGCTGCAGCTGAGAGAGGCGACGCCTCCACATTCGACCTGTGTGATGTCAAAGGCGCATTAAAAAAATGACTCAAATATTTTGAGTAGTTTAGACTTCGGATAATATTTTTGAGTTTTTAATTTTACTAATTTGAGCTTATATTTAAGAATTTGTACTCTAACGCGTGTAGTGGCTTTAAACTGTTGTTTATCATCGCAATACTAGTCGCGAATACAATTTCTATTTTATCAGATAGCAGGATGAGTCCAAGGTCCATACGTATCACAACACGATCCCCCACCCCCGGGTGTCGACGAGGGACGAAATCTAAGGACCGTAGAATAGCCGCATCTTTTTGCAATTCTTTTTCTTTCCTACCTAAGCTGATAGCCTTGAGAGGCTATTTCAGCTTCTCCTTGACGTATAGGTGAGCTGACGGGACTCAAACCGGAGTGTTGCTAACACGAACCTTAGCAAGAGCAGTGCTTCGCAGAATCTACCACCGGATCGGAAACGCGACCCACTGAGAAGATCCGGCGAGGAACTCAGTGGGCTGTGTCTGAGGGTTAATTTACTCATCGATCAAGGTACCTAAAAGGGCATCCCTTCAAACCGGAACACGAGTGGTTTGCGGCTTTAATATTAGACCCGTTGTCACTTACCGAGGGCCAGAATACGACACATTCCTATTGCATCGTACGACAGTTAACTGTCAGATATAATTTTCTGACAACTTCAACAGAAAGCAAACCCTTCTCGGTGCGAGCGAGCCGCACGTGTCGCCCCTGGGCCACATCAAACCCTCAATAAAAACACACAAAATAAAACAACGAAACAGTCTTAAAAAAATATATTTTGTCGCAACTAACCGACTTTTTTTATAACTAGTACCTACATAAAATTTTAACAATTCATATAATTGACGCACGGACGATGAGATTCATTTCTCATTAGTACATAATACATCGTTTTAATATACATTACAATTAATTTATTACTACAATATCTTGTCTTTAAGGTTGACATTAGAATGACACGCGCGCGGCCTCAGTCGGTGTGACGTCATGCATCGCGTTCTTTCTCTAACATTCAGTTTCAGAGCGCGACGGAAAGAGACAAAGCTAGATTATTTATAAATATAATACAATTTGGTAGGTCGTCTCTAAATTTAAAATTACATAAAATTTATACATTTAAGTTAGCCATATACAAATTGACTTTGTCGGCGTCAGACAATTTTAATGCTTTCAAGGCTAGAGAATTGCGAATGTCAGTAAATTTGTAGAAACTGGACTGTAGGAATAGGGACGCGATCTAATAGATAATTGAAGACACGAGTGGGTGAAAGGGATATGATACAATTTGTTATTATTGAGAAAACGGGCAACATACTTTTGTTACTGGTATTTTTTCTTCATACATAAGTCTCTCATCAAAAATAGCCTTTAAACCCGGAGTTTTAAGGTCTAATATAGTTTATAGGCACATAAAACCTTCAATGTTTAAATTCAAAAATATTAAAAAAGTTTACTTAACCCCTTCATCCTCTCATGTCTTCAAATATCTCAGAGTACTGCTGATAATTTGCAGCCCTGGATTAGCTGTTGTCCATGAGCCACAATGACCATTCAAATTCTAAATACAAACATGATAAAATAACTCATCAAAAACATTTCACCCAGGGGTTATAATTTCACCAGTCAGATTACATATGCATTGTAACTTATAGAAAATTATAAAAATGGACGGAATTCAACAATTTCTTCACTTGTCTCCCATATAAAGGGGGAGTGACCTTTCTTATGATGAAATAGCAATAAACAGAGATGCAAATAAAATTGAAAATACAAGTACTAATAAATATATTTGATATACGTAATATAGAGGGTATAACATCAAATTCCACTTGTATATCATATGAAAAAATTGTATTTTGAAGTGAAACTTCTTTAGGCGCATGAGGGTAAAATTTTTACAGAACGTCACGCAGGTATGCAACGGAAGTGACATCAAACTACTATTGAAATTAAGTACTTGTCAATTGTCAGTAGTAGTAGTTGTTGTATTTTTCCAACTGGAAAGGCAAATGTATCATACCATACAGCCTAATATTGTGTAATTTTTTTGTGAAAAATGTTAATAAGAATTGAAATGAAATGAAAAGAATTTGAAACATTCATCAAATAGCATGAAATTAAATTAGTCAATTCAATTGGCAAAATAATAGTCATTTACAATTTAGAAATCTAAACATAATGTGACTGTCAACACTGAGGTTTGAGATTGACATTTGACAGACTTTTGGCGGGAACATCTCTTCCGTTTTCCCTTCCTCTAAGTCTCGGAAATTTAAAGTTTTAGATTTGTATAAATATAAGCAAGATTTATAAATTAGTTAGCCAAAAAGTTTCACTTCTCACATGTGTACTTTGTACGCACGCACTTTTTTTATGTGATAAAATAATCTGTTATTAAAATCGAAAATAATTTTAAAACATACTGCATTCGTATGAGAAAGAAAACAAACATAAATAGGTGTGCTCTAAAAAAATATAGTTCAAGTTTAATTTTAGTGGGATTTGACCATACCATATATGTACAATATACTAAATCAGAGCTTCGTTTAATAACTGCATAGTTATTTGTTTTTTTTTTATATAAAATCCAACCTAATAAAGTTCATTTTGAGCCACTGATAATTTAATACCAATTTTTTTAATTTTTAATTTCAACGCCTGAATTAAATCAATCATCACAACTCTCAGAGGAACTGGACGAGCCATCGGACTTATCATCGGTAGTGCTGCTCGCCTTGCTGCCCCCCCTCAACACGTTATCATCCTCGAAGCTGTCTTCCTGACGCTGATCTATATTCCCATCGCCTGACACATGTCTAATGCGACTCCTGTCAAAACTTGACAGGTCTTTGTGTTTGTCAATCCTCTTGTTTGACGTTTTCGTGACGTCACTCCTGACGTCAGCGGCGGGCCTCTGGTCGTCTACGAGTATTCCCGGGTTAGGTTTTATGATCAGCTGTATCTGTTGTGCCTTCGCATCTTTTGTGGAGGCGGTGTCGTCTCTGAAATGGGAATAATAAATATATATTTAAAACCAATTAAAGACGCGTAACTAGCGAACCGAATTTACAATTACCGGTTGGACGAGCTCGTGGCTCACCTGATGTTAAGTGGTTACTGGAGCCCATAGACATCTACTACGTAAATGCAGCCATTCATCTTGAGATATGAGTTCTTAGGTCTCAGTATAGTTATAACGGCTGCCCCACCCTTCAAGCCGAAACGCATTACTGCTTCGCGGCAGAAGTAGGGAGGGTGGTGGTACCTATCCGTGCGGACTCACAAGAGGTCCTACCACCAGTAAATAATAAACTTCTTGTTGTTATTTGTTCCTACGTTTGCCGCTAGGGGCGCTGTCCCAACTCCATACAAATTCGAGTTAACTTTTACGCTATCGAGAACGTTAAAAAACTCGCACTAAGCATACTGAGCTAATAAAGCGGTGTTAAAAAACTATTAAGTTATATATAACTGGTGTTGAACTGTTTAGTAGCTGGTACCCCCGCGGCGGTCACCAGGGGATGCGCGAGGGGTCCACACCAGCTCGGGGTGCTAGAGTTACTGGCATGTCGAAGATGTAACTCACTTCTCATCTTCCCTCGGTCTCCACGCGAAGAAATCTTCGCCGATGTTGAAGGTCAGGTTGCTGCGGAGCACGACCTTGACCGGTTTCCTGTCCTCGTCCCGCTCGGGCGTGACGTCATCTTGTTTCGACGACTCCTGTGGGAAATGTACTTCAGCTGTGTCCTAGACGTGTCTAGTTGCAGTAGTACTTAGCGGGGCCTTGCTGCTGTCCCGGCTGGTAGGCTATACTGGTGGTAGGTCCGCGCGGGTAGGTACCACCACCCCGCCTATTTCTGCCGTGAAGCAGTAATGCGTTTCGGTTTGAAGGGTGGGGCAGCCGTTGTAACTATACTGAGACCTTAGAACTTATATCTCAAGGTGGGTGGCGCATTTACGTTGTAGATGTCTATGGGCTCCTGTAATTACTTAACACCGGGTGAGCAGTGAGGTCGTCCAGACAACTAAGCAATAAAAAAAAACTTATAATAGCTCTTAGTCTCGATGACAATTTCCTACCACCCCCCCCAACCCCCCGCTCGCAGTACGCGGCGGGAGACACTTCTGGTCCTGGCTTTAACAATATTCTATGTTTTTTTTTTATGTATTTTGAATATTGACGATCGTCCCGGTACTCACGTCGCCGCTGTCGGCGCCGCCCTCGTCGGTGGTGAGCCTCCGCAGCGGCTGCAGCAGCGTCTGCGAGTTGTTCCGCCGGAAGCGAGACTCACCTTGGTAATCATTGTTACATGTACATTAATATTGCGGAGAATATACATATTGTTACGCCGGTACGAGTAACGCCATCTATCGCCGAATAGTCGAACGAATATCGAAGGATCTAGTAACGTCTAGAACGCGCGATAAGTACAACGCCATCTATTGTCAGATAGCGGAAACATAATACTAGAAATGTGTGGAATATTCTCGACAATTCTAGGAATGTTGTATCGACTATAAAAGCGTTGCAGAGATGGCACGCTGTCAGTCAGTAATCGGAACTACTTGAAGCGAACAGCGAACTTATCACCTGAAGCGAAGCGGAACAAGCGAATTGAGAATTTTAAAGTGTTTGTGAAGTGTTTTAAGTGTTCTAAATGTTGAATACAGTTTTTAGTTGTACTTTGGTGATTTTTTTTTATCCCGCGTAACAATATATTACTGGGGGAAGTTATGAGAATGTTGGTACGATAAGTAGATTGTCGTCCGAACGAAACTGTGGATTCGACCTCATGTCTCAAGGTGATCGCAGTCGCATTATGACTTCAACAGTGACCATTAGACCGTTCACTTGATGACACTCACTAAGTCAAGCTAAAATTATTTATAACTGTCCATTGTCCATTGCTGAACATAGGCGTCTCAAATCGATCTCCAGTGAGGCGGGTCCGTAGCCAACCGTACCCCACGTGACCCAGCGATATTCTCTAGATCGTTAGTTTAATAGCTTTAATTTCATTTTTAATTCATTCCATCGAAGAGTATTGAAATGATTTTTTAAAACAGTAATTGAGGATGAGTCGAATTTCTTCCTCTGATGACCTCTGATCCCCCCCCCCTTCACCCCCTACTTACCCACGTCCCAGTTCTCACGGCTGTCGTCTCTGAGCAGCTCGTTGACCTTCCTGTCGGCGCCCCGCTCGGCCCCCATGAGCATGGGGGTGTCCTCGGCGGACGAGGGTGGCGCGTCCGTCAGCTCTACAGACCTGCGAGTGAACAGACTGGATGTTGGTAGTTGTGACATGAAGAGCGGTCTCACGTCGCAGCGGCAGTTGTCCCGTGGCTCTATATAGGTACACTCGCGGTCCCCCTGAGCTTAGGTGGAGCTACAGGTGTCACGACGTGAATGTCGCCGCCCGGAGACTATAGTATGAGGTCGGTCATGCCGAGAATTTACAACAGGAGTCAGAGGAATAAATTGATAAATGGAACGTGACGTCAGGAGTCCAGAGGCCGCAGGCGCTGCTAGTTTGTAAAGTTGTTCAACTGTCGCCTTCGGACTGAGATAGAGATAGATAGATTGTACTGGTGATAGGACCTCTTGTGAGTCCGCGCGGGTAGGTACCGCCACCCTGCCTATTTCTGTCGTGAAGCAGTAATGCGTTTCGGCTTGAAAGGTGGGGAAGCCGTTGTAACTATACTTGAGACCTTAGAACTTATATCTCAAGGTGGGTGGAGCATTTTCGTTGTAAATGTCTATGGGCTCCAGTAGCCACTTAACACCAGGTGGGCTGAGAGCTCGTCCACCCATCTAAGCAATAAAAAAAAAGATGATGATATCTGTACATCACTAATAGAGGTACTCACGCGTGTGCGTTCCTCTCTGTGTTATGGTTGAGCACTCCCTCCCCCTCTCCGTACGCGGCGGGGGGGACCGTGGTGCGTCTCTTGTGTTTTCTTTTACGCTTCTTCAGTTTCTGTAACATACGTGAACAAATCAAATAGATAGAGGTAGATAGATTATACTGGTGGTAGGACCACTTGTGAGTCCGCACGGGTAGGTACCACCACCCCACCTACTTCTGCCGTGAAGCAGTAATGCGTTTCGGTTTGAAGGGTGGGGCAGCCGTTGTAACTATACTGAGACCTTAGAACTTGTATCTCAAGGTGGGTGGCGCGTCTACGTTGTAGATGTCTATGGGCTCCAGTAACCACTTAACACCAGGTGGGCTGTGAGCTCGTCCACCCAACTAAGCAATAAAAAAAAAAATCAAATCAATTTTTTTATTCAACATAAATGAAAGTACATACTTGTTGAACGTCAAAAGAACTACCGCCAATTCACAAGAACTAGCCTCCGTCCTGAGAAGAATTGGCAAGAAACTCAGCGGGCATGTTCTTTTTTTTACATATTAGTTTTTTTTTTAATATTAGATTTTTACAAGATGTGTCATAACGTAACAATTACTACGATATTGAAATGCCCGGAGCGAGCAACTCATTCCCACTTTGTGCAATCTTCTAGATAATCATTGACTTTATAGTAAGCTTTATTGCACAGATGTTCTTTAATAGTTTTCTTAAGCCTATGTATATGTAGGCTCTGAACATCTTGTGGGATTTTGTTGTACAGGCGCACAGACAAACACCCGAATGAATTTCGTATCTTATGTAACCTACTCATCGGCACAACAAGCTTGTGTTTGTTAAGTGATGTAAGGAATCCGTTCCGAAAAGTAGTTAACAAATCGAATTAAGGTCGATATTCGTTGATTTTTTTTATTAGCTTAGATGGGTGGACGAGCTCACAGCCCACCTGGTGTTAAGTGGTTACTGGAGCCCATAGACATCTACAACGTAAATGCGCCACCCACATTGAGATATAAGTTCTAAGGTCTCAGTATAGTTACAACGGCTGCCCCGCCCTTCAAACCGAATCGCGTTACTGCTTCACGGCAGAAACAGGCAGGGCGGTGGTACCTACCCGCGCGGACTCACAAGAGGTCCTGCCACCAGTAACTGCAACCGTTTATGTTGGAAGTTCACACCGCGTTGTTCAGACGCCACAATTGCGGCTAGACTCACAATAATTATTGAACGCGTAATGTAAGACGATTGATCAGTCGACGCATGGGGTCAACGACCACGCGAGAACGGCGGCGGCTTCCTTTGAATCACAAACTCTCTGAATGTGACCAATAAAATTGCAGATTAAGGGTAGTTTGGTTATTAAATGAGAATTTCTGCATACAGGGTGTGAAAAAGTATAATCATCGTTCTGATTCAATAGCACACTCTTAGATGTATATACGTCTCTTTCGTACACTAGACCGCTTTATGAGCCACGTCATCAGCACGACAGAGAAGTCTTATGTTTCTGTCGGCCGCAGGGGAGTAACGAGGCTTATAAGACCCCGTAGTGTGGCTTTGTAAAATTTCGCAATTTAACGCAAACGCGCGCGAATGATCAAGTTAATCAGACGTTTTGGAGTCTGTGGAAATGACGTTAGAAGATTCCGTCACATAGATATATAGATAGCTAATAAGGATGCGTCTGTGTTTACTGAGGGTAGTTTCAACGTAGACCTGCTATTGCTAGGATCAGCTTGTCTCAGTAACGTTACTGGAAGCGACCCCCGCAGGTCCCCGCGGCAGGGCTTCTGGCCCTCGACCCCAGCGGAAAGCTTAAAGTTCAGCTTCAAATCAAATAAGCGGATCAAGTGAATAGACGCCAGAGCACTCTTTGGTTACGAACCTTGGTCTTCTCGTCCGGTGCGACGGCCACGAACTCTTCAATGATAATCTTCTTGTTGAGTTGCTTGCCGCGCCCGGCGGGGGGCGCCAGCGTCGCCACGTTCACGGCGGGGATGCGTTTGACCGATGGCGTTGTCTTAAACTTTTTATGGCCAGGTTTTGAGGTCTGCGAATTTAAATGGACATTTGATGAGTAAATTCATTCATTCAACGTGTCTCTCAAAGGTAATAAAATAATGTCCATTCCTCAATTGTATAGCAATTATGCACGTCTTTACGGATCCATCAGATCTAATGAATGAATGAGTGAATGCAAGGAGCATTAGACGCCTTCAGCTCTAACGGTGCAGACTTAGGGACCCCGGTAACGGTACTCGTCGAACTCGGCAGAGTTGGACGTGCAACCTAACCCATGCATCAACCTGCTGAGTTTTTTGTCGGATCTTCTCAGCGGGTCGCGATTCCGATCCGGTAGTAGATTCATTCGCGAAGCAGCTGCTCTTGAGTTGTTAGGTCTCCTTCGGAGGCGCTCGGGCAGCTGTTAGCAAATCCTGGCTAAACCCTTGCTGGCCCATTTGTCCTGGTGAAACTGGAAAGGCCTCAGAGCCACCAATAATCACTCGTTCATAAAAAAAGGTTATTATGCAAATTAAAATTCTTGTGGATTTAATGTCTACTAGTGGTCCCCCTGTAGTCGAAATTCGACTATAATTAATTGAATTTATAAGTCTGTATACTATTATTATTCTATTGTTAAAGACTATTTATACTTTTATAATCACAGATTTCGCTAAGACTACACTATAGACAAATATTAAAAAAGAGAAACAATATTTATTTTAATTTTTTTTTTTAAGAGTTTATGACCTGGTAACTAAGACCTTTAAGTCATGTCTTATTTTACTTTTTATTCTTAATTTTATGAAAAATAATAATATGGAGTGAAATGAAATGAAGATGATTAATTTGAGACATTAATCAACTGGGATGAATTTAATGAAATGAGATGATATGGGATGAAATATAATCGCAGTAAAATGGTGGTCATTTACTGAGATTTTTTCAGTGAACTTTTTGGAGGAACCCGAGAAGTTACGTCCAGCAGCTTTGTTTCATTTACCCACATTTGTGCACTTTCACAGATATTAAACAGTTAATAAACCACCATTATTACACATTTAAACCTGAAGAAACACTAAATAGACAAAATAAAACAAATCACACAACTTCACTCCTCGCGTTCCCGCCAAAAAGTCCCTTATTTAATCTTTTTTTTTTTTAAGAGATTTTATGACCTGGTAACTAAGACCTTTAAGTCATGTCTTATTTTACTTTATATTCTTAATTTTATGAAAAATGATAATATGGAGTGAAATGAAATGAAGATGATTAATTTGAGACATTAATCAACTGGGATGAAATTTAATGAAATGAGATGATATGGGATGAAATATAATCGCAGTAAAATGGTGGTCATTTACTGAGATTTTTTCAGTGGACTTTTTGGAGGAACCCGAGAAGTTACGTCCAGCAGCTTTGTTTCATTTTCCCACATTTGTGCACTTTCACAGATATTAAACATTTAATAAACCACCGTTGTTACACATTTAAACCTGAAGAAACACTAAATAGACAAAATAAAACAAATCACACAACTTCACTGCTCGCGTTCCCGCCAAAAAGTCCCTTATTTAATCTATTGTCAATTTGACCACAGACTATAAGCAATAACAAAAGTTTGACAATAAACAAATCGTATGCATGCGTGTGTGTGTCAAAAACATGATAGTGTTTGTAATGTTTTATTTTATTGATTTAATGTATTATTAATGCACAATTAAAAAAAAAATTGCATTGTGCACTCCTTCTCTATATTCTCTATAAGTGTGGGAAATTTCATACTCCTCCGTCCGCGCAATTCTCGTAAAAAGGGGTACAAAGTTTTTGCTTCACGTATTAATATATAGATTATATAACTCACTGCTTCAAAGGAGAAACGCATATAATAAAAAAAAGGTATTTTAATGTACCTACACTTCCCCTAATGTTTTTTCATGAGTATTATTATTTAATTGTAAAGAATAAAGAGATATAAAATTTAAAATAAAAACTCTCTCGGCCCATGGTGATAAGCAATTGAAGAAACTGGTCTGCTAAAAAGGGGTACAAAGTTTTTGTTTCACGTATTAATATATAGATCACACGGGCGATATCAGAACTTTATGAGTCGTTCTTAGGCTTTTATTAGCCTACTAGCTGACCCGGCAGACTTCGTAGTGCCTCAATCGATAAATAAAAGTCCTAAGCTTTTGTATAAAATAAACTTAAAACAAACAAAAGGAATCCGTCCGACGGGGGACACGTCAAAGGAAAAACAAAATTCTTATTTTTATTTAATCCCGAGCATTTTCATATTTATCAACTTTTTAAAACTTCTCTGGACTTCCATAAATAATTCAAGACCAAAATTAGCTAAATCGGTCCAGCCGTTCTCGAGTTTTAGCGAGACTAACGAACAGCAATTCATTTTTATATATATATAGAAGATAATAGATAATTGTCACCAGCCCGCGGGGTGTGCTCGCACCGAGCCTGTACTCACCGTGACGTCATCGATGTCGTCATGACGCTTGATCTTCATTTTCTTGATTTCGGCGTCCCGGAGTACGGTGACCCCGCCGCGCTCGAACAGACGCCCGTTGTTGATCACCTGGGCCAAGTAATAGCATTTGTTTTATGATTGAAGGATTACTGGTTTTTGAGGATTGAGGAGGACTTTCTGGATTCCGCAGGACAGGTGGGCGAGCACGGACTCAGCCAAGAAGATTTTTTTATTTATTGCTCAGATGATAGGTGTCAAGTGGTTACTGGAGCCCATGGGCATCTACAACTTAAATGCGCCACCCACCTTGAAATATAAGTTCTAAAGTCTCAGTATAGTTACAACGGCTGCTCCACCCTTCAGAACGAAACTCATTACTGCTTCACGGCAGAAATAGATAGGGCGGTGGTACCTACCCGCGCGGACTCACAAGAGGTCCTACCACCAGTAAAGAAATAGTATAGTATAAAGTCCTGTATTTATTGGTACAAGAATTACTAAGTTCTTATACCTAAGCCTATCCCATTTCGTCCCGCAGTCACATCCTTTTCCCCCCCTACTTATTCGCTGGTAGCCTATGAGATTATTCAAGCTACGCCCTGGTGGGTAAGTGAGCTCACTGACCCAACCTGAGAGAATTTGCTAACACTGGCCCTATTAGCAACACTCCCGGCTTGAGCCCCGTGAGCTCACCTACATGTTAGAGTGAAGCTGAAATTGCCTCTCAAGGCTATCAGCATAGGTAGGAAAAAAGGAAAAAAAACAGAATTGAGGAGAATAAGATAGAGATGCAACACAGCCAACCCAGTTTATGAACAGCGACGGAGGTCTCGCACCTAGTGACATATTTATTGATCGGGACTTGTAGAATGTAGTTGGTTGTTCTGAAACTTCTCTCCCGGTGAGACGGGGCACGGGGACCGAGGGGGGCGAGGTGTGGGTTCACCCACCTTGACGTCCTTGTCGTTGAGGATGGCGACGAGGTCCCTGACGAAGCTGTTGTTGGGGTGCAGGCGCGCGTGGCGGCAGTACAGCTCGGCCTCCAGGTGCTCGTCGGGCGCCCCGGGGCGGCTCCGCAGCAGCGTCAGTATGAACTTGTCCTTGCGCTTGCGTTTCTTTTTACTCTTGTTCTTCCTTTTCTTTTGCTTCCTCTTCCTGCTGCGGTGCTCGTGGGAGCGCTGCAACGCGCCCCCCTCGTGCGATAAGAGCGAGCGAGATTTTCGTCTAAAAAAAAAACAAATAACGTAAAAGTTTTACAATTATTAAGCCTATTTCTGCCGTGAAGCAGTAATGCGTTTCGGTTTGAAGGGTAGAGCAGCCGTTGTAACTATACTTGAGATTTTAGAACTCATATCTCAAGGTTCCAGTAACCACTTAACACCAGGTGGGCTGTGAGCTCGTCCACCCATCTAAGCAATAAAAAAAATACAAAATGATGGGATTTTTTTTTCTCACTGCACTAGAACCGTCCCCCGCCCCGCTCCCCGCTCCCCGCTGGGGGTCCGCCCCCCGGGGGTCGCGCGGGCGGCGCGTCCTGCTCACCTACCTCTGTCCCCTCAATCTTCGTAGCTTCTCGTCTCTCTCACTCGTCTCACCGCCTGAAAGAACATTTAGACATCTATATATAACAAAATAGTACTACGGTCGTGTGTGCGCTGTCGTGTTACTGTACATTAAGTAAATTACTGTTACATTAGTAAATTTATTTTCATTTTTAGTTGAATTTCAATTTTTTCATAATTTTTTTTCAATATTGAATTGTCATCCGTCCTTAATAAGTATACCAAATTTAGAGTAAATCCGACTTTTTGAAGGGGGTCAAAATCATGTTCAAAGATTCCGTTACATACAAACATACATACGTCTGAAACTAATAAAAGCGTATTAAAAAAAAAATCACATACTCTTCCCTTTGAACTGGTTGTACTCCGCGTAATCGATCAGCCAACGCTGCTGGACCTTGCCGCTGCAGGCCCTCGCCGTGACGTCTGCTCCGACCTCGAAGCCCGCGTCCAGGCACAAGCCTGAGTCGACGTGCTGGAGTTGACTGGTGGACGGAATGTATTTCCATTTCTGTGCAAACAGTTGATCCGATGAACAGCCAACAATATCTTTAGCACATACGGCATGACACCGTCCCAGAACACAAAGTCCCGCTACAGAAATAAAATTAATGTTTATACAAAAAAGTGATGGCAACTCCAACATTTTAGTATGGAAAATAAAACCATATGACTGGCAACATTATTGGTGTCTTTTCCCCTTCTTTTGTTTCACTTTTCACCGCGAGCGGACGTGTTTATTATATTCATAAAATACCAAGTGCTTAAACATAGAAATAAACCGTATTGCAGCACAAATCACAAGTTTTCCTTATCAACAGCAACCGGCCCCCATACAGCCCGCACCAAAACAAAAAGTACCAAAAACCCGGGTTCGTTAGCGCATATTAAAATATCGCCTATATTTATATAATATATGTAACCTCTATACGATTAATCCTTAAAGAAGTTAATATGTTATTTATATCATTCTTTTATAGATGACATAAATAGAATTTCGATTATTGAAATATTAGAACATTAGACATATAAAGAGCATTTTTGCAATATTAAAATATAAAAAGATATAAAAATAATGGTGAAGCAATAGCTTTAAATGTTGTTTCTCTTTATAAGAGCAACTCAATTACTATAGCTAAACAAAGCTAAACTGTATTTTGATTTAAATAAATAAATACATTATATATATTTATTATTGTTATGATGACAAGCGACGTAACAAAAGAAATGGAATGAAAGCGCCAAATAAGGTAATTAATTTACGTAACTAACTATCCGGAATGAATTTTTCATTCATCTCGTATATAATAGCAACATTTGCCGCGGTAACGGCAGGACCGGAGTGACACAGGCGACTCTTTGTCCCGGGACAATATAACAAAACACAAAACGAAAACAACTAGAATCATGTAAAGCATGACACGGTGCACTACCATGCATGAGCAATAGTCATTACGAAACCAATTTATTTAATTATTAAAGAAATAACTACATTGAACATTGAAAGTCATTTTGTCATGTCTCATTATTACCTGATGAATGCGTACAGGCAATTTCGATCTATTACGGGCTCAATAATTGTTAACACATTATTAATTTCTTAGTTATTAGACATTCAAATCTGACGGTAATTCGTCACAAAAGCATTTTATGGCGAGGAGTATATACAGGTTTTTATGTGAAACTGCTAATAACAACGAACCTGGCCCCTTTGTTTCCCGTGGCAGCTGGTCATCAGCACTCTCCTGGCGGTGTCATCGTTCACATCATTCTCGCTTCTGAAAGCAGACCAAGGTTCGTCGACGTCAGCAGCTGTCTGAGCATATGCTTTTAGAAACAAACAGGGGTCGCAGACCCATATGGTGCGCACCGCGACAACACATCAACCTGCACTACAGATTACGAAAAATTCGATTGAAGAGTTCTGGATGAAATTTTTGTGAGGTTTTTTTTCCTACCTATGCCTTGAGAGGCTATGTAAGCTTCACCCTAGCGTGTAGGTGAGCTCTCAGGGCTCAAAGCGGAAGTGTTGCAACACTAGCCCTAGCAAGAACAGTGCTTCGCAGAATCTACCACCGGATCGGAAACGCGACCCACTGAGAAGATCCGGCGAGAAACTCAGTGGGCTGTGTCTATGGGTTAATTTACTCGTCGAGCCGTTCGTCGCATGCGACGGGTTTGACGAGGACGGAGACCGGCGCTTGTAGTACCTAAAAGCACCGTTAATGGATCTGGAGGATCCGTAAAGACGTGTTTTGGGCGACGTCGACAATTTACCATTCGGTCCTCAGGATCGGGTATGAAATGTGTGTGGTAGTAAATATTCAGAACTACAAAAGTTAGCTTTGAAACTTCTTACTTTTGTTTGGGTCAACGTATGTATATTTGTGAAGCAGCATTTTCGAAGATGAACATCATCTATAGGTACATATAAATATTGGAGTGACTGTAGTATGGAAATAAGCGCTTTTTGCTACATGCATATGAATATATATATACGGTACATACACCAAAATAACATTTTTTACAATTTTTGTCTGTCTGTCTGTTTGTTCCGGCGAATCTCTGGAACGGCTAGACCGATTTTTACGAGAGTTCAACTGATAGGTAGCTGATGATATAAGGAGTAACTTTTACAAAAAGACACTCCAATTTTATTTATATGTATAGATAAATTATCGAGCGGACCGCGATGGTCATTTCATTTCTTAAAACGGCGAAACTAATTGGCGACCCCTGATGTAGAGCATTTTGAGTGTCACCATGAGTCAGACTAATGATGTTCCAGGATTCTCTATAATTAATATCTATAACTCGCCGTCAGTGACCTACCTAGTATATTGCAGCTGAGCGCATTTCTCCTCGTCCCGGAGTTCCCCGCGGAGTGAAAGAGACAGATACTGAGTGGCCTGCAGTGTGGAGTGACAGGGATAGACGCCCAGAGGCGACGCCTCTCCGTCCCTCTGCATCGTGTCCAAACAGAACCCGGACGCGGGGTTTTTGAATCTGTCACGAAATTAGCTCAGAAATAATGGAGGGTAGAGGTAAGAGTAAGAGGTAAGGAGGATTTTTTACTGGTGGTAGGACCTCTTGTGAGTCCGCACGGGTAGGTACCAGCCCCCTGCCCATTTCTGCCGTGAAGCAGTAATGCTTTTCGGTTTGAAGGGCGGGCAGGCGTTGTAACTATACTTATTTATTTATTTATTGCATTCAATACAAAGTCAGGCTTACAGTTTTCACCAAAACGCCTGACTCGTTAATACAAAAACATTATTGAAATTATTAAGTACTTGAGACCTTAGAACTGATACCTCAAGGTGGGTGGCGCATTTACGTTGTAGATGTCTATGGACTCCAGTAACCACTTAACACCAGGTGGGCTGTGAGCTTCTCCACCCAACTGAGCAATAAATAAATAAAAAACGAGAAATCGAGACGCTTCAGTCCCGATCTCCACTTCATCATTGCTATAGACCAGTAGCTGCCGAGCTGTCTCTGGTGGAATGCTCGCGGGGATCCTTACCGCCCGAAGCCGTAGACGTCGCGCACCGGCACGAACTTGTCCTCGTAGACGTTGTCCAGGTACCACTGGAAGTCTTTACACTTCAGTTTCTCACGCAGCACCTTCCGATGGGTCACGTCGCCTATCTTCGGGTTGTTCTGAAAAACCTTCGCATTCGTACTCTCCGCTTGATTTATATTTACATCTATTTATAAACTAGCCGTACTCACCCGCTTCGCTGGGCATTTAAAATTAACATTATTATTTATTGTCATTATTATTATTAGGGAGTCCAATACTCGTATAAATATTAGCCTATCCATTAAGTACATGTATTTTCTACATGGATACCAAGTTTCAAGTCAATCGGATGCACGGTTCAGTAGTTATAACGGAACATCCGTAAAAACCACTGTAGATTTGTATATTAGTATAGATAAACGGGCGAAGATTGAAACCGGTGTGCTTAGTGCGAGTTTTTTAACGTTCTCGAAAGCGTAAAAGTTAACTCACATTTGTATGGAGTTGGAACGTTTGCCTACGTTTGTCGCTAGGGGCGCCCTAAGCACACGGACTCTCATTAACCTAATAGTCACTGGCGAACTTTAGTGCTATCAATAAAGACATTTTTTAAGCAGTCTTCCCCTTCGTCTTCATAAGAAAAACTAAATAGAAAAAAAATTAAGCAAAAAAAACTTGCAAATAATGAATTTAATCCTTAGGGTGTCATACATTATGGTCGAATTTCGATAGTTAGATGGCCATTAATATATTAAATTAAACCCAGTTCTTAGGGTTAGTTTTAACAGTACAACGGCTGCCCCGCTCTTCAAACCGAAACGCATTACTGCTTCACGGTAGAAATAGGCAGGGTGATGGTACCTACCCGTGCGGACTCACAAGAGGTCCTACCACCAGTAAAGACGTCCGGTTCGTCTTTGACGGCGCGGCTCAGTGCCGCTACACTCACCCTGAGGTCCGGTCGGTGCAAGTAGAACAGCTCAGCGTACTCATCCATCCACACTTCCGCCATCCTAGCCGTGTTTATACCTGCGCGATCGAAGGCTTGCTTCAACGAGATGTGATGAGATCGTGCACCACCATCCGGGACCGAATGGTGACTGGTGGTGTGCGGTCGGCGTCGCTCAAGTCGATCAGTGTTTTTTAACGTTCTCGATAGCGTAAAAGTTAACTCAAATTTGTATGGAGTTAGATCAGCGCCCCTAGCGGCAAACGATCCAACTAAATACAAATCTGAGTTAACTCTTACGCTATGGAGAACGTTAAAGAACTTGCACTAAGCACACTAAGCACTTAACGAAACTTTAACATCCTTTGAGAGGGTAGTAGCACCGTGGAGACATTTTTTTTATTGCTGTTATTTAAGTGGTTACCGGAGCCCATAGACATCTACAACGTAAATGCCGCCACGTACCTTGAGATATGAATTTTTAAGTCTCAGTTTTTGCAGTATAATGGCTGCCCCACCCTTCAAACTGAAACTCATTACTGCTTCACGGCAGAAATAGGCAGGGTAGTGGTACCTACCCGTGTCGACTCACAAGAGGTCCTACCACCAGTAAAAAGACTTATTGACAAAATAATTAACAGCTACATTTATGATTAAATGTGACCTGTCCTTTGTGACGACGACTGCTTTGAACTATATGAAATGTCACAAATAATATAATGAGAATAAATATCATACAAATGGACCTAAATATTCCCACAGTAAAAGAGGAAATAGTAGCTTACAGCAAAAAATACCAAGCCAGGTTGTCGACACACGTCAATAAATTGGCGTCGGACCTAGGAGGCACAGGAGCTGTGCAGTTTACTAGATTAAGGAGGCACAGTATACCTACCTTACAGAACAGAAATTAAATCTAACAATAAAAGATGAAGGTGTCACTGGACATCTGATTCTGTTTATATATCTATTAAGATTAAATTCAGCCAGAGGAATAGCTCATTGTTAACTAAAGAAAAACAGATCGCTACGAGACATTAAAACATAAGAGAAAACAAAATGAGAATAAAGGACGCGATATTTAATCGTCAAAGTACATTCGCGACTCGCGGAGACCGATGAAGTTAGGTACTATACTATCAAAATTGTCAGGTACATTAAAGTTATGTTTACGAGTCCAAATAACCGCTTAGCATCTGATGAGAAGTGAACCAATATGGTTAACTAACAATACGATTGACTAAATAATTCGTATCGCTCATTCATTTTGCATTGAAATCGTTATTGACTCATGGCGTCGGAGGAACATTGTCATTTTTTATGGCTTAGATGGTTGGACGAGCTCACAGCCCACCTGGTGTTAAGTGGTTACTGGAGCCCATAGACATCTACAACGTAAATGCGCCACCCACCTCGAGATATAAGTTCTAAGGTCTCAAGTATAGTTACAACGGATGCCCCACCCTTCAAACCGAAACGCGTTACTGCTTCACGGCAGAAATAGGTCATCTAGGGTGTTGGAGTATTAACAATTCAATTAAATTAGTATTTACCGTGTGTGTCGCTTTGGGCGGGCAGTCCGTAGGGATGGAAACTCCTGAAGACGTGGCCGACTCGTGAGCATGGAACCGTCTCTAGTGTTCCACCGCCTGCGACACGGAGCAATGTACCGAAAATAAAACCCAAGTGCCATGGTTTTTGAAGAAAAGGCTTTGTTTTAGGGTTAAGGCTGGTTTAGATTAGTCCAGCGAATGGTGAGCTACCGCCAGTCACTAGGCCTTGATGCCCGTTGAGTTTCTCACCGGATCTTCTCAGTGGGTCGCGTTTCCGATCCGGTGGTAGATTCTGCGAAGCACGGCTCTTGCTAGGGCCAGTGTTAGCAACACTCCGGTTTGAGCCTCGTGAGCTCACCTACACGTAAGGGTGAAGCTGAAATAGCCTCTCAAGGCTATCAGCATAGGTAGAAAAAAAAAGGCCTTGATATCTGCATTGGACCGTGTGTGATTGATCCTACTAATATTATTAATGTGAAAGTTTGTAAGAATGTATGGATGTATGTTTGTTACCATTTCACGCAAAAACTAATGAATAGATTTTGATGAAACTTTACAATAATATAGCTTAGAGAACAGAATAACACATAGACTATAATTTATAAAGATATAGTGAGAATTACCCAAAATATAACGATAAGTGTCAAGTGATTAGGAAAAAAATCTACCATTTGTGAACTATTTTGGCGTGCGCTGCAAAAACCGTTGGAGTTACACGTATATAATGTATCATGGAAATGTTTTTCTTAAAAAGTCCTACAAAGAAAGCCCGTGACAGCATATATTATATCTATCTTTTATTTGTAACACATTATTGCCAAAATAGTGAACCATGAATATAACAAGAGGGAATATTAGATTTTTTGTTTGTAACGTTATTTTTTTATTGTGTTTGTTTCTGTCAGGACCAGATTCAGATCGATAATCAATACATCATCATCATCATCATCGTCATCATCAACAGCCCACAGTCGTCCACTGCTGGACATAGGCCTCTCCCAATCCACACCACTGAGCCCGGTCTGCGGCTCTCCTCATCCAATTCTTGCCGGCCACCGTGCGGAGGTCATCGCACCACCTAGCCAAGGGGCGTCCCACGTTACGTCTTCCGCTGCGCGGTCTCCATGAAAGACACACATAATCAATACATCAATACATAATTACAGTTCCCCAAGCAAAGCGAGGGCGGGTCTTTAGTAAAAATATATACCTATTAGTATTGGGAGTAGAGCATGTTGGTCCAGTTTTGAAGACAGGATCTTTAATTTTGCTACAGCGGCGTTGTACTCACATTGCCATATCCTGAACGACATCTCCAGATTCTCACCGCCCCAGCCAGCCATCTGTTCATCGTAGGCGCCCAGCTCCCAAAAGTAAGCCCGGTTGATGGCAAACAGACCCCCTGCCATTGTTGGGGACCTGAGAGACGACGAATCAAACAACCGATTTCACTGCGGTTTACTGGTGGTAGGACCTCTTGTGAGTCCGAGCGGGTAGGTACCACCACCCCGCATATTTGTGCCGTGAAGCAGTAATGCGTTTCGGTTTGAAGAGCGGGGCAGCCGTTGTAACTATACTGAGACCTTAGAACTGATATCTCAAGGTGGGTGGCACATTTTCGTCGTAGATGTCTATGGGCTCCAGTAACCACTTAACACCAGGTGGGCTGTGAGCTCATCCACCCATTTAAAAAAGTCCTCGCAAACTACTTTCGTCCATGTCACCTGGACAATAGCAGGTAAATCTTCTTAGTCATACACTCTTGTCAGAGTGGTCGTGGTTGCGCTGACGCTGTATGTGCAGGAGGACCCGTTAGGTCACCTATGCTCCCGACGACCGCCCTCCGGGCAATGCGCTTCCAGGTCTCGTCAAAGGGACAATACCCTCTTTCATATTCAAAAGGAAAGCAAGGAACGAACCCACCGATTTCCTTGGCGGATCTTGTCAGCGTGTTGCGATTTCAATCTGGTAGCAGATTCAGCCCATGAGCTAACCTACCGGTCTGTGTGGAGTTGGAATAGCCCCTTCGGTTACCAACGATTAAGTAGGGGAGAAAAACGAAGCAAGGAACATTCTCGAATTGTAGGCGCTTTGTTAGCAATGTTATTGTCAGAGTCAGGGACGTCGATGGAGTGCTCGGGTCAATCAATAAATAATAGTTTAAAAAAACTAACAAAATACGCTTTTTATAGGAAATACAACAAAAAAATAGAAAATAAATTTTAATAAATTTGAATTAAAAATAGTGTAAGAAAAAATGATTTTCTATAAAAGCGTATTTTGTTAGTTTTTTTAAACTATTATTTATTTTTCATTTTATAGTTGAATTTCAATTTTTTTATATTTTTTTATAGTTGAATTGTCATCGGTCCTTAATAAGTATACCAAATCTCGAGTTAATCCGACGTTTTGAAGGGGGTCAAAAATCATGTTCAAAGATTCCGTTACAAACATACATACGTCTGAAGCTAATAAAAGCGTATTAAAAAAGAACCCCCTTACCAAGTCGGCGCGATGTCTGAGCCGCGCCGTTTCTTCTCGCGTTCGGGAACGTCAATCCAGGTGAAATGACCAGTGAAGGTAAAACCTCCAACCTGTGGTCATGTCGTGTCAAATTAGTCAGACCAAGTAAATCCAATTATGCCCAAAATATTAAGTACCAGTGTTCTATGCACGCAATATTTTAACCTAACGAGTTTAATTGTTATAATTCTTTGAAACTAGTTGTCTGGTGTCTATCTGTTTTGCGTAATGAACTCACGAACTTAATTGATGATAAGCAGACACCGACCTTGTTTCCATCAGAACGTGTCTATCACGCACTTTGAAGCAGGTTGACGTCTCAATTGTTATTATGCTGCCTCCATACCGGCATACGTTTAGCAGTAGGAATAGACATGATGGTAGTACTTTTTTTTTCTACCTATTTCAGCGTAACCTTAACTAGTAGGTGAGCTCACGGGGCTCAAACTTGACGACGTTGCTAACACTGACCCTAGCAAGAGCAGTGCTTTGCAGAATCTACCACCGAATCGGAAACGCGACCCACTGAGAAGATCCGGCGAGAAACTCAGTGGGCTGTGTCTGAGGGTTAATTTACTTATCGAGCCCTTCGTCGCAAGCGACGGGTTCGACGAGAACGATGACCGGTGCTTGAGGTACCTAAAAGCACCGTTAGTGGATCGGGAGGATCCGAAATGATGTGTTTGAGGCGACGTCGACTGCTTTCCATTCTGTAGGTAGTACCCAAAAGTCGTTGTTAACTCGTAAAAATGACTTGCATTACACCTTTTCAGTAGACAGCAGCTTATGTCTATGGCATTTCTGATGTGCATGAACGAAGGCAACCATTCTCCATCAAATGGGCAGTCGTCTGACTACAATATCACTAAAAAAAAAAACTAATTTGTATCTGATCCCGTAATACTTTATATCTATTATTAATGTTTAAGAGATTTAAAAATGAAAAAAAGAAATCAAAGAAGACAAAAGGCGAATGTGACAAATTTTAATAGTTTGCAAAAGGTATTAGGTACGATATAAATTGTGATCAAAACTATATTTGAGTCGTCTATTATCAAAGGGGGCAAGGCAATCTGTGCAATTGGACAAAAAAAAATTTTTATTTTTTTTATTGCTTTCGATAGGCAGACGATCTTACGGCTCATCTGATGGGAAATGATAGCCGTCGCCCATAGACATCCAAACTACATCAGTGACTCAGATGCGCTGCCTATCCTGGCCTGGATGGGCAGCCTTATGTATGTTACACCGGCTATCCTGTCCTTCAGACCGGAACACAGTATTACTGTTTTGCGGCAGAAATAGACAGGACGGTGGTACCAACCCGGGCGGGCTTCTACACAGAACCCTACCACCATTGATATTTCAATACAGATTGATTTGAATATAATCGTCTCCTTCGAAGAATACGGTTCAAAACCTGCATTAAATAAAGGTTAATACTTAATGGAATACAAAGTCAATAATTCGTTTTTCTGATTTACCAATAATTATCCAAAAGTGACATTGCCGGCTTTGATAATAGTCGACTCATTTACGGTTTAAAGAAGCGTATATTAAACTATCATCTTATTGAGACGTTTCCAATTACATTATAATGATAATGAAAACTGTTACCGTAAACAGTGGTATTAATAATATCTACGTCCCGCTGAAACCGAAGGAAATACAATAGAAATTGTAAACAGGCAAAGCATCAAATAAGAACAGGCTATATTTATTATACAATATAAATGACAATATCGAGAGCTGAAAGGTTATTACGTTTAAGCAACACTTCGCTTAACCCGCGACATTTAAGCCTTCGTCAAACAGAACGCGTACTTAGCGCCGCGTACTTAACGTCGCGCTCTTCAAATTGACTAGATGAGTCTAACGCTCCTTGACGCAACGCATTCGCCAAATCATAGTGCCTTTCGATAGCAGTGAGAAAATTTAAAAGTATTAAGAAATCGAGTGATTCAGATGTGGCATTGTATAAGCATCGGTATTTTCTAACTATTTATATAATTTTTTCGGGCATTATCTAGTATTTTAATACATATTCACTCGGACGCTAAAATAAAATTTGTAAAAAATTACAACGCATGACGTCAAAGCGTCCTAACGCCGCGACAGAGCGCTGCGTACTTATAGCGCTGGGGCTCTGTTTGACGGTATGTTACCTTAATAGTACAACACATCTCGGCGTCATAGCGCGGCGTCAATTTAGCGCTCTGACGCGCGCTAATTACGCGTTCTGTTTGACGAAGGCTTTATCTTTGCAATTAAAGGTCCGTTTTATTTGGCACTGATAGCTGACCCGGCAGATTTCGTAGTGCCTCAATCGATAAGTAAAAGACCGACGGGGGACACATCAAAGGAAAAACAAAATTGTTATTTTTATTTAATTCCGAGCATTTTCATGTTTATCTACCTTTTAAACCTTCTCTGGACTTCCACAAATGATTCAAGATCAAAATTAGCCAAATCGGTCCAGCCGTTCTCGAGTTTTAGCGAGACTAACGAACAGCAATTCATTTTTATATATATAGATAGATAGATTAGCATCAACAGTTCGATGTTTTCAATTGAACTTCAATTATGTTTATCGCATTCAAATAGTAATATTTTTTTCATAATTTAAACTTTAAATGGCTCTCCTATCAAGTTGCAAAAATGTCGCTAAAACCTTTCACCCCTCGATATTATTAGTAAATTTAGTATGCGCAAGGGAACACTTACGCCCTGTTGTCATTTAGATGTCGTTTCCAGAACTATCGAGAATGATAAAACATTGCAAACGAATTCGAGGTCATGCGAGAATGCTTCTTATTCTAAACTACACGTGCATGTTGGCCATGTGCGATTTGTACAATTGTCGTGGTCACTAAACTACAATTAGCAGCATAAATAAATATAATATAAAGTATTTAGATGCCGTGGGGAAGCATGATGCATCGAGTGGTCCACACTTCAGACTAGACACGACCTTCAGCAATGAAGAGACCGAATCAGAAGACGATTTAGATGCCGCTCATACGTGAACATCAAGACACAAGAGATATAAGCTTGGTTTTTTAAACTTTTAACTTTTGATTTAATGATTGAAGGATTACTGGTGGCCCGGAGGCCTTTCCAGTTTCACCAGGACAGGTGGGCGAGCAAGGGCTCAGCCAGGAGGGTGGGATTTGCTAACAGCTCAAGAGCGACTTTTTACTATAGTAGTGACGTACTAACGAACGTGCGAGAGGGATGGCGAGATACTCCCGTTACGCGTCCCGAATACGTAACGTTTTTACAAATATAAATGTTCACTAATTAATTTCGACGATAAAATAATTTATTGCATTTTAATAATAGCGCTTGTAGTGATATCCCCCTTTGTTGAGTGGGGGGACCAGCGCCTAGGGAGACCACACAACTGAATTCACGTCTTAAGGTGGTGGTGTGAAGGTTGTAATCTCTACGGACTCCGGCAGCCACTTACGACCAAGCTCGTCTGAATTATAAATGTAAGCAGTACTAAATATTGTATTGCTCGCTTGGATGGACGAATTCACGGTCCACTTTGAGCAGTATCTCTGTCCATAGACATCATAACTTGGACGCCGTCACCCACCTTGACAGATGATGTCAAAGTCTGCATTGTTACACATACGTCATACTGTTCCATACGTGAAACGTTTCATATGAAGGGTTTGCGGCAGTTATGGTCAGGACGGTGGTACTCAGCCGGGCGTAGTTATTAAATAATGTATTTAATCAACTTGAAATTCTAATACCAGTCAATCAATCGAGTTAAAATCTAGAGATATTCATATAAAAATATCCGCCATGACTTGATAAATCGATAGTTTTTCCATGCTATAATACCAAACCTTAAGTTGGACACGTAAAGCTTAAAATCCAATCACCGATAAACCATGCTGTTATTCCACTTTGAAACCTCTAACGACCTGGAAGTATTCAGCAGCCTCCAGCTTGAAGCTGCTCTGGTCTACAACGTCTATGAGCGGAGTGAGGACCGAATCTCTCTTGTGCGTGATCCTCTGCAAGAGGGGCCGCAGCCAATCGGCGCCCGTTTCGCAGTGAGCGTCCAGGAATACCAGGACGTCACCTCTCGCGACCCTCGCCCCCGCCAGCCGGGCCTTCATCAGGCCCTGCCTGGAAGGTCAGTTATACCGAGCGTGAGGTTGCGTTGATGCAATGGCCTGTTTCGAATAGGTACCTAGGCGATGTTCTGCTTAATCGTGACGTGGAGAGTCGATCGTGAACATGAGTTCCACGACACAAATCAACCGGGGGTCTTAGATATTTTATTATGCTATTTGTATATTCCCTATTGTATAATACTAGAGGTCCCGCAGTAGTCGAAATTCGACTATAATTAATTGGAATTGTAAGTTTGTACACTATTATGATTGTATTTTATACTTCTATAATCACAAATTTCGCCAAGACTACACTATAAAACAATATTAACAAAGACAAACAATATTTAATCTATTCTCAATTTGACAACAGACGTCAAGAACAAAAGTTTGACAATAAATAGTATGCATGCGTGTGTGCGTCAAATACATGGTATGTAGTTGTGTAATGTTTTCTTTATTGATTTAATGTATCTTTTATGCATTATTTAAAAAATATATTAGCATTGTGCACTTCTTCTCTGTATTCTCTATAAGTGTGGAAAATTTCATACTCCTCCGTCCGCGCAATTTTCGTAAAAAGGGATACAAAGTTTTTGTTTCACGTATTAATATATAGATATCTATGCATTTGACAGTGCCGGGAATCGTATCCCCAGTGATCACGAAAACAGTAAACTTGTCGATATATATTTTATTTAAGACGAACACAGCCTTTTTTTTACACCTTTATGTTATATTTTTCTTGTAATGTATCAAAATTCCAAATCTAAAACCTAAAACCTTAATTTATTAATGGACTACCAAAAGAAAACTAAAAAATTTGGTGTTCGCATTATAGGTTCTTTGATGAATGAAACTACAAGACATTGACGTCATTACAAGTGCTAAATATTTATCTATGTTCAGAACATAGATTATAATGCGATAAGCCCTTAACAGGTGAACTGTGGATGTTTTCACGCATCTATATAATATAATAAATAAACCAATAAACGTCCCTGAATAGATCTGCCCTATTTTGAAGCATAAACTATAACGCCCGCGTACAAAAAAAACAAAACTACGCAAAATAACAAAGATCTTCAAAATTAAACATCCTGTATAAATGAAATGCCACAGTTCAGCGAAAACAGTAATGCACGTGTCATAAGAAAAAATGCGGCAAAATCAGAAAATTACACAGGATAATTCTAAACTAAAAACTATACTCTAAAAGTCGAAATAAATAAATAAATACTATGTACAAACGAAGGCCTATCAAAGCGATTGCAAAGAAAACAGATAAAAGACATTGAAGCAGTAATCACAAATAAATTAATTCTGGAATGAAATGCAAGTGTTATAGAAATAGTTTTACCACTTTGTGGTTACTGCAGACTTTTTAAAACACATTGCTTTTTGTTAATCAACCAGACTTTACTGTTACTAAGACGCATAGATACCGTTATGTGAATGCTGCCGTTTGGCGGGAGAGATAAGGTTGAAATTTCAATGGCTTCGATACGGTAGTTATAAGTTTCAGAACGACTGATCGCTTAGTTGCAGAATAACGGTTCTCGAGAAGTTCTGCCGGGGCTACTAATAAAAAAAAAACGAATAACAAACTTTTGCATCACACAATGAACACAACAGAAGGGTGCATAAAAATCGTGCTGGGAAAACCATTAAAAATGTGTGCCACCTGAAAATAATACCAGACGTAATATGATCGACTAAATCTTGGCTATAAAAGCTTCGTATGGCCCAAAGCTTACCAAGCGCCATTCAAAAGTCAACGCAACCAAAAAACGATAGCGAAAACTAATGCAATACCGCGAAAAGTCAACCCCAAAAAGGCCAGAACCTGAAATGAGTACGTGTCCTGGACGCTGTAGTAGAAATTCGAAGCATCTATCACGTCTATGATGGGCACCAGGACTGCCCTGGGCGACTCCTTCAACTCCTGAAGCAAAGGTCTGAGCCAATCGCGTTGAGTCTCGCAGTGAGCGTCCAGGAATACCAGGGCATCTGCTGTGGCGTACCTCGCGCCCGCCAGACGGGCTCTCGTCAAACCAACACTGAAAAATCTTTGGTATTATCAGCTATCCTTGTTGAAGTAGATAGCCCAGACTGCAGACCTTGGATCGGACTCTCTACAAGACTTGTCTGAAGGACGAGTTGTGTATTGTTACGTCATTGTTCAAATTTAAGGCACGGCAAGTATATAACTTCATACGTTAGTATTGTGGGTTATGTTTTTGATATTATCGCGATTCATTCGTGACCCAATCGCTGTCTAGAAATGCAGCGGTATTCCTTTCGCTGATTTCCACTCAGAGATAAAAGGAAAGAGGGTTGGGGAGCGTAGCCCCATGCGCAGGTTCGATCAAATTAAGACATTGGACACCAGCATCAATGTCACTATCCACTGGTCCAAACAAAAATGCTCCGGTACATGACCCTCAGCACTGAGGAAAACGGTGCATGGAGGAGATATAATCTAACATTGCTAATATTCTGTTTGAGGTAATTTGTTATGAGGTGCTTAAAAAAATACTTTTCCATGTAAGTTAGAGAACATTGCGCGCGTGAACCGTCCCACATTTCGCTCACTGTACACGACTACACGCAAATAAAGGGGTTTTTAATTATTTTTTTACCGCATTAATCACCGACACGTCTCAACGAAATTCGATAACAGTAAGATTGAACAAATGGAAAATTTAAAATCGGTTTACGTACCGACACGATTCCCTTCAGTTTATTGCTTGTAACTATTTTCAGAAGGTTTTTTAGATTATATTGCGAAAATGAATTATGTTATTACTTTTTATGCTGCAGATCGGCTAAAGAACTTACGGTCTTGTGGTCATTGGGGTTCAGGGAGACAACGTGAATTCAAATTCAAAACGTTAGCTTCAACTTGAAATTTCATTTCAAAACTGTCTTGTTGAAGGTCAATACATATCTCGACCGTCAGTTTAAAAAAGCCACAGTCCAAACAATAACCAGCAAAACAAATGGAGCGCGTTCTTTTTTTAAACTAACAAATTTTTGCTCATGTGGTTTTATCGTTAAGAAACCACCATTTGCGAAATTTACCACAACCTATCATACGAAATATCCACAAAGAGCATTCAAGCCGTAGTGTTTCCTAAGGACAGTTGCTCGGTGGAAGATCTACCTTTCCACGGACACACTAACGAAGCTTTATCCATATTCTCTTATACTTTATGAGAGAATTTATGAAACTTACTTTTTTTCTCCCATGTTCAAGGAGAGAACTAACCCCGCTATGAATTTCCATTCCCTTATACTACGGGTTAGCCCAGTGTTTCGATAAGCCACAACTAGACAATTTGACCGATCAATCATCCAACAAACTTCCATTTAAGTCATCGTATTGCTTACGATTCTTCTAGCCTTAATTACACATTAAAAACTACTCAATAATCATTTTGACTAATATCATTGCCACTATATGAAATACGCCAATCTAATCTATCCCATGTTATATTCGACATTAAACAGATGTTATTTAAAGAATTCATCTTGCTTTTACTTTACACAATCCAAACATTCGACCACCAAAAAACAATGGTGAATTTCTGTAGCGTCAGCTGTCACAGAGCAGTAAGAAACCGACAAAAATCTGGGTTGCTTAAACGACATATAGACCGATAGTCCGTATATTGTGATTCGGAGGTTAAGCTTTTTTACTGGTGGTAGGACCTCTTGTGAGTCCGCACGGGTAGGTACCGCCGCCCTGCCTGTTTCTGTCGTGAAGCAGTAATGCGTTTCGGTTTGAAGGGCGGGGTAGCCATTGGAACTATACAAAGACCTTAGAACTTATATCTCAAGGTGGGTGGCGCATTTACATTGTATGTCTATGGGCTCCAGTAACCACTTAACACCAGGTGGGCTGTGAGCTCGTCCACCCATCTAAGCAATAAAAAAATATAAAAAATAACAGCTTATATACATGCAACCTTATCGTTTATTAAGGCGATTCAGATTTTTGTCACATATATTGTATGATAAATGCCAGTACAAGTATAAAGTAAACGTAAGATGAAACGGCATTGTAATTTTATCTCGTTTAAGACTCGCTAGTAACCCCAGAGAACACTATCAAACATGTACTAAGGCACTTCGAGTCACCTCGTAATCCAGATTCCCAGTTTGGTACTGAAAGGTGTCCTGTTCTATGACATCTATGAGGGGTATGACCACCGCATTATTATTCTTTATCTCTTGTAGCAAAGGTCTGATCCAGTCTTGGACTCCTTCGCAGTGGGAATCGAGGAATATCATTACTTCCGAAGTTGCTACGCGACTGCCCGCCATTCTGGCTTGAGTCAGACCTACCCTGAAGGCAGAGGATATTAAGCCTCTTTGACTGATCAGTGCAATATAAGTTTGGAAGTGTGGCTTGATAAGTTCTTTACTCTTTTATGCTTGTGGAAGGTAGACGAGCTTAAAAGGCAATTTGTAGGTGGACTGATTGTTCTGTTAGCACTTGTACTGTGGTTTTTTTTACAATATGAGGACGGCTGCTTCAAACCAGTGCACGCGCGATTTTGAAACGATTTGAATGCACCACAGTACTAATACTTCATACTGCAACTAATTCTTGATTGGGCTATTTATCTCAAATCTACATGGTGTGATGAGGACACTAATTATGTTCACGTGAAACAGCCCAGTGGCCTGCGTCACCAGTGACGGCAACGTCTACAAAAATACTGAGTTTATTCACAATTCAACCGATTTGTGTGGTTGTCAGTTAGCCTAACTTTAATAAAAGCTTTTTACATACCGATCTGGCAATCTTAAAATCCTTATCAGGTCAGGGGGCAGACGGGTCTTTACGTAGTAACTGAGCTTTCCTTTAAGCTCTGGTAGAGTGGAGTTATCGTCGACCAGGATTATCTCCTTTAAGTAAACTAATGATGATGTAGGGTCTTGACCTGGGTAACCTGGTTATGGAAATGCGTTTTGTAAGGTAGTTTTTTTTTATTTTTGTGTGTTTCTATGTGTCTTCTGTAAAAGCTATTATACTATTTTACAGCTTCAAACTAGTCATTCATTTGTTTAAAAAGTAAAACAGCCACTTTAGCATCGATTGTTGAAGCTTAAACCTCATTTTTTTTTTTTATGATTGGAAATTTACTAGTGGCCCGAAGGCCTTTCCAGTTTCACCAGGACAGGTGGGCGAGCAAAGGCTCAGCCAAGAGGGGCGGGATTTGCTAACAACTGCCCGAGCGCCTCCGAAGGAGACCTAACAACTCAAGAGCAATTGCTTCGCGAATGAATCTACTACCGGATCGGAATCGCGACCCACTGAGAAGATCCGGCGAGAAACTCAGCGGGCTGATGCATGGGTTAGGTTGCACGTCGACCTCTTTGTCGAGTCCGACGAGTACGGTTACCGGGGTCTCTAAGCCTGCTCCTAGTATTAGAGCTGAAGGCATCTAATGCAAAGGTTATTGGATCTGATGGATCCGTAAGGACGTGGCTTAAACCTCATGTCTCATGTTCATTGATACCATTCACATCACTGTCTATGGGCCCTAAGAACCATCGGACTGGGCTCACCTAAGCTAGACACTATAAAGTGAAGTTAAAAATGTCTTTGTGTGAGGTTTAAAATATTCTATTTTACTTGCTAGTGCAATAAATGGTGATTTAGTATATCATATCACAGTTTTGTAATTACCACAATCTCTTACTAAAAACTAAAATTAATACAGCTGACAACTTTCAAATAACAGTATTTAGTATTTGCAAGAATATATATGAATAGATATTATTAAAATTTAAAATATAGTACTAGATGTTCATTAGTTTTCATGGGATTATTTCTTACTATTTGCATAATATTGACATTAATTGTTCCAATATAAGTTATTCAATCTAGTAATATTCTTAGTCAGCATAAGCATTAAACTCTTTAGTCATAAGATTGACAACTCAATGGAATTTATAAAATACTAGCTGTGCCCATCCGCTTCCCTGGGCTTTTAAAATTAACATTATTATTTCTCACCCCCACAAAGATTCTCATAATTAAAGCCCCCGCAACTGGGGTAGCGAGTCCAACATTCATATAAATATTAGCCTATCCATTAAGTACATGTATTTTCTACACGGATACCAAGTTTCAAGTCAATCGGATGCATGGTTCAGTAGTTATAACGGAACATCCTTAAAAACCACTGTATATTTATATATTAGTATATAGTTATATACTTTTTGAGAGTGGTGGCTATTCATGTGAGATTACAATATGTACTACCACGCACCACTAATCTGGTCAGTTTAATTGCATCCTTGGTATAATTGCCACTGTCTGTATTTTTAAGTTTTAAGTCACTTGTTTGCCAGTTCATAAAAATAATTAACTCACCCAACTGCATAGTCCTGCCTGTTCCTCGTTCAACAAAATTTGCCTTCGAATACCATGGTTGATCTCTCCTGGCACTGTTAATAACACTCCATATTGTTCTTATGACGACTGAATAGGGCTCATTGTGGAATATCAGGATGACAGACACAGAGGGGAGCTCTGCATCGTAGACCACTCGCTGGCAAGCTGGGTTACGGTAATCTGTTGGATTTTAGGTTTTCACGTGTTGTAATTTCCAAGGACATGGTTCATTTTCATTATTTCAGTTCAAGAACTTTTGGTATTGCGAGCTAAACACAACAATATGGTAGACTCCCTGACAGATGAAGTTATCAGTGCTGAAGGAACAGCAAAAATTCAAATAAGTTACAGAGTACCATTTTATTGAAGTAAGATGTCATTATTCATTAATCACAAACTTTTTTCAATCATAAAACTCTAAGATTGTCTTTATTTACTATTGTTGCTGTTAATTTATATCAGAGAAATCTATGAGACCCAGGGAACTAATCATATTTTTTAAACACTGAAACGAGCTTATAAAACTTTCCCAACTCCGTGACAGTTTTCTCAAATTTTCTAGAAGAGAAAATTCAAGCAAAAAATTGTAGCGCCAAGCGCATTGAAAACTGAACTCTCACCTTTTAAAGTACGGTTATACGCTATCCTATCACTGAGATGCACGTTCATGGCCAGTTTCTTCTCAGACTCTTCGCCAAGACGCTTGTCTTCCCCGGTCAGGTATGCCGCAACACCCCCGTCTCCCAACCCAGGGATAATTCGGGCTTCATCTTCCAAAATTTGTCTTTCAAATTCAGCCTCAATCGGATCAGAAAAAGTCGCGTCCACGGACCGTTTACCGCCTCGCCATTGTTCGAAAAAAGTTATTAAAGCGATCACTAATGTAAACAATATTCCGATTTTAGCTATATAAGCACATTTTCTTGCTGGAAAATAAAACATTTTCCAGAAGTTTAACGGTACTACCGCGGTTAGCGGCGTTACACGGGTGACTACGCCTGACGTTTGACTCGTTTGAGTTTCAAGTTGTTTGTTTACAGTTTCGTTTTTTTAATAACAGGAAATGCAAATGAAAACATCGAATTCAGCCTTATCAATGTCGGAAACCTAAAATTGTGAAAAACAAAAAAGTTCAACTTTGTTGATGTTTCGTTTCAACATTTTTTTCTTCTCAATTTTTTTTCAATTTGTGCTACTTATTTTATATTTAAACTAATTAATCGATAAATACAAAGCAGCTCATTAATGTTATGGACTGCTCGTAGTGAAACATGATGACTGAGGGGTAATCATAGTACTTAATGCAGATATTTAAAAAAAACTTTTTTTATTGCTTAGATGGGTGGACGAGCTCGCAGCCCACCTGGTGTTGAGTGGTTACTGGAGCCCATAGACATCTACAACGTAAATGCGCCACCCACCTTGAGATACCTCACCCTTCAAACCGAAACGCGTTACTGCTTCACGGCAGAAACAGGCGGGGTGGTGGTACCTACCCGCGCGGACTCACAAGAGGTCCTACCACCAGTAATCCAGTTCTCCGACTTGTTATTAATTTGTGAGCGGCTCGTCCCCGACCCGGTGCGGTCCGGTGTCGTGGTGCTGACCGCGCACCGCTCCTATGTTGCAGCCGGAGCCGCAGAGGTGCCGATTTAACTTTTCATTTTGTAGAACACGATATAATTTACATGACGGGTTAAATTTAGAGTGTATACCTACCAAATAAGCTTATGGTCGTGTTGCAATTTCATGAAAATAAAATTCCCTCAGCAGACTATTTATACATTATCATTTAGAGAATCTCCGACATCTCATGAACAGATTACAATGTTGATTATTTTCAAAGGATTTATAACGTTCCACTTTTGTATTATGTTAGATGAGCCCTAACAAATCAGAACGTGATCTTTGAGACACAATGTCAAGTTTATAACAGCTGTCATCAATCTGGAAGGCACTTTATGATTACTTCGCGGTAGAATTAGGCAAGATGGTGGTACCTGGTGCAATATAATAAAAATCCAATAAAACGAGTTATTTTACTATTATAAATATATTTTATTCACAATTGGAATGTTCTCTATATGTTTTCTCTATGGTTTTGAATAACATAGACTGCAGATAATACTCATTCTTCCAAAAATCTTCCAAATAGCCATCGTATTATTAAGTTTAGACACGTATGTGATTATTTTTAGAATAACATTTATTTTATTTAGTATTTTAGGTCGTGACCCACAAACTGATTTAAAAAAAAAACTATTCTTAGCCGTTACGTCACTGCGCACATCCGACTTTAAGGTTTCTGTTTTTTAATTAGTAGCGTAGGAGTTAGCTGTGATCTTGATGCCAGTTAAGGTAGTTGAATCATTGAAAGACCACATCGTGAGATACAATTTCGATTTGTAATTGATCATTAATATGTAACACAAACGTCCCCTGAGATCTCAATAAATATATATTATATTTTCAGTACATAACAGACTCCCGTAAACTTATTGACAAAAACAAGTACAGGCGAACCTCTAGCTGAACCATTCGTGGGGGCCTTATTGAAAAAGTTGACATTGGCTGAAGCCATCAGCGCGGGGCCTATTTAACATCGGCAGACTTGCAGGCATTCTTGAAGACAGCATCCAAGTTGCTCATCTGAGTTTTAGATAGCTTAGCGCCTTTCATATCTAAAACCTTGTGGAACTCAGCCAAGGAGCAATCCGGTAGCAATTTGACGAACTGCGTGACGAACCCCTCCAGATTCCCCTCGAGGGGGGCCATCACCAATTTGAGAACCATTTCCGCTTTCGTCATCAGCTTGAGGACGACTTTAGTGTAGGTTGCGGGTGCGGCCCTTTTGACCTCCGACCCGATTGAGGGTAGTTCTAACAGCGCCGTCTTCAGCATGTGCGTGTCAAGCAACAGCTGCTCAGAGCCGACCGTGGAGATGGGCTTGCACTTGTACACGTTCTGAATGAACTTCGGTATGAAAGAATTAGCGAATCGTATGCAGAACTGCGTGAAGTACTTCCTGGACGACGATAAGTTGTCCCTCAGGTTCGGCACGGTGTTTTTTAGGTGCATTATTATCTGAGTCACGTACGAGCTCTGGTCGCCTACGTTGTCGAAGCTCAGCCAGGATATCTTGGTCATGCTCTGGAGGGCCGGCTCGCAGGCCGTCTCCAGGTCCTGGACCAGCATCTGGATGCAGTTGCTGATGATCTTGTGGAATAAATCCTGTTCCGGTGTCAAATCGATTTTGTCGGACAGCTTCGGACTGACTTTCTCCTTGAGTTTCTGCTCGAGGTGTATCGTGGTCTCGAGGCAGTACTCCGAGGTCGTGATCACGCTTGTTATCTTTGAGATTTCCTGTTTTGTATATCTGTGGAGTAAATAAAATTGATTAGATTTATTTTTTGGGACTAAATAACTTAAATTAGTTCAAAATTTCTCAAATTTAACACAATTAGTAATATCTCTAACCTGGAAACATTTCCAGCTTCATCTCTGAGTAGCGTGTGTAAGTTCGTCACTATGCTCGGCACGGTGTTGCCGCTTAGCGACAGCGAGAGGAGGGACGTCGGGTTGGTCCTGGGCAGGGCAGCTTGCAGCACAGAGCTGGCGTACTCGCGTAGATACTTCTGGAATACTCCCGCTAGTTCTGTGTACGACGGTTTACGGTAAGTTCAGTGGCTCTCAACTTTTTTACTCAGCTACTTACACACAATTTTACTGGTGGTGGGACCTCTTATGAGTCTGCCGTGAAGCAGTAATGCGTTTCGGTTTGAAGGGCGGGCCCGTTGTAACTATACTGAGACCTTGTCTCAATGTGGGTGGAGAATTTACGTTGTTGATGTCTATGGGCTCCGGTAACCACTTAACACCAGGTCGGCTGTGAGCTCGTCCACCCATCTAAGCAATAAAAAAAACAGAGATTGAGAACCGCTGATCCTGTATGATTGCTGTACCTACCCAGCATCGGTTCCCCTGTGGTGAGCCTGGCGCATTGCACCAAGCATTTCTTGTAGAAGAGGAACAAATCCGCGCAGCTGGATATGACGGCCCCTTCACCACTGGCGGTCATGTTGGCTTCAGAGGGCGACGTCTTTGCATCCTGAATGGGAACGATGTACAATGATGATCTCGGTGTAATACGTGCTTTTTTTACCTGCCCATGTGTTGGTAGACTAAGAGGCTATTCCAGCTACGCCCTGACGGGTAGGTGAGGTCACGGGCTCAACCTGAGAGAATTTGCTAACACTAGCTCTAGCAAGAGGCCCGACACGTTGGACTGACCAGATCCGCACTACCCTCGACACCAGAGTTTACGATGCTCTACACTCGGCGGCAGATAGAGGCGAATGGGGTGGAATGGTCGGTAATAAACTCTTGTTGCGAGGAGGTGGTCACGACTCTCAATATTGAGGAAACCGAAGCAAGAAGAAGCCCTAGCAAGAGCAGTGCTTCGCAGAATCTACCACTGGCACGGAAACGCGACCCACTGAGAAGATGCAGTGAGAAATTCAGTGGGCTGTGTCTGAGGGTTAATTTACTCGTTGAGCCCTTGGTCGCAAGCGACGGGTTCGGCGTGAACGGCGACTAGTGCTTGAAGTACCTAAAAGCACCGTTAGTGGATCGGAAGGATCCGTAATGACGTGTTTAGGGCGACGTCGACTGTTTACCATTCGGTCTACAGGATTGGGTATATAGTTTCCAGCGGACAAGAGGGTTTTCAAGTCGTGCCGACTGTATATACTTGCTGATTGAGTCAAGCTCCAGGTCATTATGAAGATCCACATTCCTTAGGAGCCATGGTGCTCCGACGGCTATCCTTCAAATCACGCCTCACGGATGGGACATTTGTATGATACAAACTTTGGGGTCGCGTCTAGAGGTAGGTGGCGACATTAACAAATATTCTTTCCTCCATTAATTGGCGGTTAAGCCTTGAAGTTTCCTCACTGACCTGCACGAATCTCTCGATGAGCGAGCTCAGGTTCGAGTCCAGACTGTTGATGTACAATGAGAGATAGGGCTCGAAGCAGGACCCTATCAGCCCGACCCAACTGCTGGACGAGCCTTCCGCCTGCTGGCCGTCCGAGTCTGCGGTGTTCTGTCGAGGAGACGCATTTTGAATGGTTTTTTGACGTGACAACGTCTTATAATTCGATGGAGCCGGCTGCACGCATGAAAAAACATGACTCATGCGGCGTTACCTCGCTCTGAGGCGTTCCATTTAAGGCTTGAAGTGCAAGCGAGAGCGCGTAACGAGCGACAAAGAGGCACAATCGGCAGTCCACGTTCGGCAGCGTTCGACATCTGTCTCTCTCCTATTTGAGTGAGCGATGCATCCGCGTGGACAGCTGCTATACAATAATACATTTACATGTTTTCGTCAAGTATGAAGTTCAGTGAAAAGTGAATGTGGTGTCAATTGTTTACAGCAACGATAATTGCGATAATTGAAAAATGAATCAATTCCATCAGGATTTTCTTATGACGTTGTCACGTTCAACTATCGTCAGTAAACCGACTTTACAGACAACCGATTTTTTTTAAACTAACATACGTTGTTGAAATCGATTGCATGCAGCAGAGATACGACCGTTGCGATGGATGTGTGAAGTAACGAGAATGGATAGAATACGGAATGAATATGTTAGAGGAAGTCTGAAAGTGGCACCTGTGACAGAGAAGCTGAGGAGTGCGCGTTTGGGATGGTATGGACGTGTGATGAGACGAAATGAAAATGAGGTTGGTGAGAGAATGTTAACTATGAATATGGAAGGATATAGAGGAAGAGGTAGACCTAAGAAGAAATGGATGGATTGCGTGAAAGACGATACGGGTAAGAGGGGAGTGAGCGAAGAAATGGTATATGATAGAAGAGTATGGAAGGAGAAAACATGTTGCGTCGACCCCAGGTGACTGGGAGAAGGGCAGGATAATGATGATGATGATGATACGTTATTGAAATTGAATCTTTAATACCCACATCTTTCGTTTCATTATCGAATGGCTGTTTAGAGTTCGTGTCTACATTGTCAGGCTTCAGGTCTGTACCTGAAATTAGAATTAATGTAACTAGACTAATTTTGTATAAGAGTGGAGTGGCGGCTTAATATCTAAGGCATTTTAGAGAACGCTGCTGCTGATGTAATCCTTTGACCAGGGGTGAGCAACATTTTTAATCAATGGGCCAATTGAAATTGAAATTTTTTTTTGACGGGTCGCACATCTTGTTAGTAATTTACGAAACTTTATTAATAATAAACATTAGATATAAAAAAAAAAAAAAAAGAGTAAAGTAAAAAGTAAAGAAGTCAATAAAATATATTCAATATTTAGCTTATTTAGCTTCATTTTAGAAATGCTTGGCGGGCCGTGTGTTGTTCTTCCTTGCCGTAGACGACTTACAATAGAGGGGAAGAGGGTTGGGGGGTATGCATTAGATTAATTAGCACAGATAAAGCACTGCGTCGCACCAGAACTGTTTAGAGAAACTTTTTTTTTATTGCTTAGATGGATGGACGAGCTCACAGCCCACCTGGTGTTAAGTGGTTACTGGAGCCCATAGACATCTACAACGTAGACGTGCCACCCACCTTGAGATACAAGTTCTAAAGTCTCAGTATAGTTACAACGGCTGCCCCGCCCTTCAAACCGAAACGCATTACTGCTTCACGGCAGAAATAGGCAAGGTGGTGGTACCTACCCGCGCGGACTCACAAAAGGTCTTACCACCAGTAATAACGCAAATTATAATTTTGCAGATTTGATTTTTACTACACGATGTTATTCCTTCACCGTGGAAGTCAATCGTGAACGTTTGTTGAGTACGTATTTCATTGGAAAAATTGGTACCCGCCTGCGGGATTCGAACACCGGTGCATCGCTTCAGCACGAATGCACCGGACGTCTTATCCTTTAGGCCACGACGACTGCCCCCCCCCCCCACTTTACCTGTGAACCTCTTGTGCAACAGTAACTCAAAGTTATAAGTGTTCTGTATCGCGTACAGCAGCAGTTTCACGTCCAATTCGTTTCTCCGCGCCGCCATTAGATTGCTTAATTCCGTTGAGGTGATCTGAAAATGGCATCTACAATTGAATAGAAGCGCTTCCCGGTCGGACTCGCGAGGAAATCCTAGTGTATGGCCTGAACAATGAATTTCAGTTCTAAGGATGCTGCAACATATTTTAAAATAAATAATAGTTATAAAAATAGAAAATAAATTTTAATAAATTTGAATTAAAAATAGTGTAAGAAAAAATGATTTTATTGTAAAAAAGAGCGTCTATTTTTTAGTTGGATTTTCTATAAAAGCGTTTTTTTTAGTTTTTTCAAACTATTATTTATTTTTCATTTTTTAATTGAATTTCAATTTTTAATTTTTATTTTAAATTGAATTGTCGTCGGTCCTTAATAAGTATGCTAAATTTCGAGTTAATCCAACGTTTTGAAGGGGGTCAAAATCATGTTCAAAGATTCCGTTACATACTAACATACATACGTCTGAAGCTAATAAAAGCTTATTAACATAATCACTTCTACAGTACGTTTAAGTTTGGCACGTTGCTATGCTTTTTTACTAGTGGTAGGACCTCTTATGAGTCCGCGCGGGTAGGTACCACCGCCCTGTCTATTTCTGCCGTGAAGCAGTAATGCGATTCGGTTTGAAGGGCGGAGCAGCCGTTGTAACTATACTGAGACCTTAGAACTTATTTCTCAAGGTGGGTGGCGCATTTCCGTTGTAGATGTCCATGGGCTCTAGTAACCACTTAACACCAGGTGGGCTGTGAGCCCGTCCACACATCTAGGCAATAAAAAAATGCCCAGCGAAGCGGACGGGTACAGCTAGTCATTAATAAAAAGCAGCTTCCATAAGTTTGAGAGCCGCTGTCCCACGTGTCTTACCTTACAGAACTGCCTGGCTATGTTCTCGCTCAGAGCCCACTGGTAAGGAAATATATTTCCGAGGGTGTCTTCGAACGTGAGGAGATGCTTTTTGAGCCACGCGTACCGTCGCTCGATGTGAGTGAGCCAGGCGCACTCCTGCTCCGACGAGTACAGGTGCTGGTATTCCTGAAGCGGTTACAATAATCTATATACTAGCGACCCACCTTCGCTTCGCTTCGGTAACTGTAATTTATTATTGATTTCTCCACTATTTAATGGATGCTATTATACATATAAACCTTCCTCTTCAATCACTCTATCTATTAAAAAAAAACCGCATCAAAATCCGTTGCGTAGTTTTAAAGATTTAAGCATACATAGGGACAGACAGATATAGGGACAGAGAAAGCGACTTTGTTTTATACTATGTAGTGATTAATACGTGAAGCAAAAAGTCATTTCGGATCCTCTCGATCCACTAACGGCGCTTTTAGGTACCTCAGGCAACGGTCATCGTTCTCGTCGAACCCGTCTCGAGGGCTCGACGAGTAAATTAACCCTCAGACTGAGATAAATTAAATAATAAAAAACACTAGAGGTCCCGCAGTAGTCGAAATTCGACTATGATTAATTGGAATTGTAAGTTTGTACACTATTATGATTGTATTTTATACTTCTTCACAAATGTCGCCAAGACTACACTATAAAAAATATTAACAAAAACAAACAATATTTAATCTATTCTCAATTTGACAACAGACGTCAAGAACAAAAGTTTGACAATAAATAGTATGCATGCGTGTGTGCGTCAAATACATGGTATGTAGTGTGTGTAATGTTTTCTTTATTGATTTAATGTATCTTTTATGCATTATTTTAATAAAATATTAGCATTGTGCACTTCTTCTTTAGGTATATTCTCTATAAGTGTGGAAAATTTCATACTCCTCCGTCCGCGCAATTTTCGTAAAAAGGGGTACAAAGTTTTTGCTTCACGTATTAATATATAGATTATGTATTTGACACAACACATACAGCGGTAGTTATATCATTAGAAACTCTAACAACGGTCCTTGACATTATTTAAGATACTTCACCGCAATCGTTTTTATTTTGAAATTAAACACTATGTTCCACGATTTTGCATTTTTTAGAAAAACAATATAAATCCTACCACTTATACCCACCATATATACCCTTGGAGGACACCCTGTATGTAGATTTAAATGTGTATTAACTTACCATATACCTTGGTTATGTAGAAGGAGCACTGGCTTCCGTAGCAATAATTTCCTAGCCTGGTTTAAGCCTCAGATTTAACCCTAGCATTTTGTAGTAAATCAATTAATAAACTTTATTATTATTATTATTATTTCTGATGTCTATGGGCTCTACCGGATACTGAAACCCATAAAACTTTGTTAGAAGTTAACGAATAGTTTACCTGCAGTTGCATGCTGATGAACCACTTTAACAGATCCTGTTTGACCTTCGCGTCTAAGATGTCGACGACGCCGCAAGCCTCCGATAGCGTCCTGTGAGTTATGTTGCTTTTACTGCCGCCTGTTGGCAGATAAAAGGATTTAGTAATCCCAGGCGCCCCCGAGGAAGTAAGAATAATTGTAAATATTTGGCGGTAGGCAGCGGCTTGGCTCTGCCCCTGGCATTGCTGAAGTCCATGGGCGACGGTAATCACTCACCATCAGGTGGGCCGTATGCGCGTCTGTCTACAAAGGCAATAAAAAAAATAATAGACATGCTTTAAAACAAAAACCGACTTCAAATAGAAAAAAAAGATATTCCAAAACAAATTAATATACACTAAAAACAATAATCATCGAAATCGGTTGGCTCAATATTGAGTTATAGAGTTATTCATCCATTTGTCGGGCACGTACTTAATGCGAATTTAAGACTTATATGGTTTTCTCATGGATACCATTGTCAGAACTGGACTAAATTGGGATGGGACCACACGAGAAGCGACAGCATTCTAATAAAAAAAAAAAATCATCAAAATGGATTCACCCAGTCAAAAGTTATGAGGTAACAAACATATAAAAAAAAAAAAAAACAGTCGAATTGAGAACCTCCTCCTTTTTTGAAGTCGGTTAAAAATCGAGTTCCAATGCTTTTAGAGAGCACGCAATGTAACACAATCACAAGCGAGCGACGCAAGCGAGGTCAACGACCGACAGTGTGGCACTTTATTTATCGGTTTACCAACTTATTATTATCTTATATTTGTAGTTTAAAAACTTTACATTGTGTACTGGGACAGTGTCTTTAAAGGCATAGCATTATTATTTTATAAAATTGAACACCTCGAATTATTTTAAAAGTGAAGCTTTTAAGCATCATAACGGAATCAATGATATCCATCGAAACATGTAGTTGCTCTTTGTCAGAAATATGCAGGATAGTGGCACTTACTCAGTGATGCTCACAATATACGAGTAGGTTTAGTATATTCAATTCTGAATTACAGTATAATGCCCATAAAAAATGATGATGATGCTCATAAAAAACGCGAGCCTGCACAGATAAGTGCCATCAGTCTGCCTATTTCTACCTTGAAGCAGAAATGTGTTCTGCTTTGATCTGGTTTGGAGATCAGGACATCCGTTGTACTATACAATCGAGATTCCGAGCACATATCTGAAGCTGATGTCTATGGACTTCGGTTGACACCTAACAGCAGGTGTATTGCGAGCTTGTCCAGAAATAAATGAGAAAATCACCTGTAAAGGCTTGTTTAAAATCAGCTAATATTTGATTGCCCAAATCGTTCCTTATCGAGTGCACTTGATCCCTTAAGACGCTGAGTTCGCGGATGTCTCGGTAGCATTCAAAGTGCTGTAACACCTGCAAAAAAAAAAAACAGTTTTTAACCTCCTTTAGTGTAGACAGGGTTTGAAGTAGTATCCAAAGCAGTTTTATATTATCTCTATATTAAAATGAATTGCTGTTCGTTAGTCTCGCTAAAACTCGAGAACGGCTGGACCGATTTGGCTAATTTTGGTCTTGAATTATTTGTGGAAGTCCAGAGAAGGTTTAAAAGGTAGATAAATATGAAAATGCTCGGATTTCAATAAAATAACAATTTGTTTTTCCTTTGATGTGTCGCCTGTCGGTCTTTTATTTATCGATTGAGGCACTACAAAGTCTGCCGGGTCAGCTATTTGGAATAGATTATAGTTCATTTCATTGAAAAAAAAAAATACATCCGATAAATGTACTTCTTTAATCTGGTTATTGTTGGGGCCCGTCGTCACTCGTCTATGCTGCTCTATTTCCAAATCCTCTCCCTCCTTGCTTATTCATTCATTCACTAATTCATATTCCACTACTATATGTTTCTTACAAAAACTACTTTCTTTGTGGCAAATCTAGGTGGACAGTCAGAAATACCAAAAGGGTCATCGACGCTCATGGACCAGGTCACTTAGAGCTCATTTAAAAAAAATGATGTCGTAAGGTTTTGAAGATTATGGATATTACTAATAAACTTGCAGTAGCTGTATATTGGGAATTTGGTGACTAGTCTACTCTGTCTCCTATGCAAACTCACCTCCATAATAGCCTGCATGGGCAACGCTATTTCCTTGTACTGACGGTTCTTCGTCATTGTGGTGAGGGTGTCCACACCGCCAGCCAGCATGTGCAGATGGTTGAGGGCGGTAATAGCAGCGGTCAGGTTACACTTAGCGCAGTCCAACTGCTTTATCTCGCAAGTTATCTCCCTGACCATGCTTTCGCTTCTTTCAGCTTTCTTGTTTATATCCGCGACCTTGATTAAAAATTACCATGTGTTGAAAGGCAATCCTTATAAAAATATCAGGTTTCTAAAAAGTCAATCATATATACCAAGAAGTCGTTGTGGCCTAAAGGATAAGACGTCCGGTGCATTCGTATATAGCGATGCATTGGTGTTCGAATCCCGCAGGCGGGTACCAATTTTTCTAATGAAATATGTACTTAACAAATGTTCACGATTGACTTCCATAGGAATAATATCATGTAATAAACATCAAACCCGCAAAATTATAATTTGCGTAATCACTGATGATAGGACCTATTGTGAGTCCGCACGAGTAGGTACCACCACCCCGCCTATTTATACCGTGAAGCAGTAATGCGTTTCGGTTTGAAGGGTGGGGCAGTGGTTGTAACTTTTTTTTTTATTATTATTTTTATTGCCTAGATGTGTGGACGAGCTCACAGCCCGCCTGGTGTTAAGTGGTTACTGGACCCTGTAGACATCTACAATGTAAATGCACGACACTTTTTTTTTTTTTTCGGGCCGAGGGCCGAACGTCCTACGAGGTCCCCGCGCCTAGGGGGCGCGCGGGGTATGTGAGACTCAACGATCTGCAGGTGTTGAGAGCAGACCGCGGGCCCAAGGAATTTAGGGCCCACCCACTAAATGACTCCCCTGCACTCTTACACCCGGCGTCCGATCTCCGTCCGGGGTCAAAACCCGGTTAGAGTAGGGAGGTTCCCGCGGTCAACACTACAACCAGACACGCGGCGCCACCCCGAGGACGCCCGACCGACGGGTCGTCGAGGCGAGTCGACGACCAACGACGTCAGTCTCCGCGGTACGGCGGCCCTGCCAGGCCGCCCGGGCGATGCCGCTGATGTTCCGGGATACCCCGCTGGGCCAGAACCAGCCTGCCGGGTCGGAACGCGATACACCGCCGACCGGGTTGCTCTTCCACAGTATGTTCGGCGACGACAGCGACGACGAAAATGTGGACCGCATCGCAGTCCGCAGCCACCGACGCGTCGTCCCGTCCTCCTGGTGCCAGCGCACTAGAGTGACGGTAGCGTGCGGCACAGTCTCAACCCCCTTAGGTCGCCCCGTGACCATCACCGGGAGGAGACTGCCTCCTCATAGGGGCCGGAGCTGGACAAACGCCCTCCTCCGACCCCAGGCTCGACGGCGGCGGCACGGCGCCAAGAGGGAGGAAGATAAATGCACCACCCACCTTGAGATATAAGTTCTAAGGTCTCAGTATAGTTACAACGGCTGCTATATCCACTTCCATTCCACGATGAAGGAATAACATTGTGTCGTATTAAAAATCAAACCCATAAAAATTATAAAAGTTAGGAGTGTCAACTGTCTCTGTGTCTCAAATACCCCAATCTAAGTTATATAAAAAGATTATAGCTAATTCTAAACCAAAATTTCTCTTTTATACTCCAAGTTATTACCTGCAAAGCTAACTCTGCTATACATCTCTGAGCTTCAGTAAGTGCCTCCTGTCCAGCTTCCCTCTGTTCAGCCTGTGCTCGGACCAGTCTTCTAATATCTTGTTCCACTCCTGAAAGTCTAAATTCACAGCGAGCCACAGCACTTTCCACTCCAGAAAGAGATTGCTCAGTTGGGAACACTCTGTTGATGTACGCCACTGCATCAAACTGTAATAAATTCCATAACTTATATATACTAAAGGCATGAAAAATCCAATTAAAAAAACTCATACAACTTATTTTTTTAAGCAGAAGGGTGTTTGAAATTCACCCATATCCCAATTACAATAAAGTCAATGTTAAAATATCTATCCTACAATTGCAACACTCGATTCGTCTCTTAAATACGGACGACCAGAAATGAAAAAGCTTAGACTGAGCCTTGGCTGATATTCTTTACAAGAGTTCAAACTTTGTACTAAGCTTCATAAATAATTATGGGTTATTGATGCAGAATACTCCAATCGGTATATCTTACACCCCGTCTAGAAATAGCCGATTGCAAATAAATGAGAAAATCCTAAATAAGCAGTTCATGTATTTTTTAATTCAAGGTTCTTATTTTTAATTCAAGTCTTTCTTGGACGCTACGTTTGTCATATTTCAACTACCCCGTCACTAGCTCTTTAGTAATAGGTATCAAGAATGTGTTAGTATCTATTAAGAAACATGTAAAAAGCCTGTAAGAATAAAAATATTGAAATTTACGTCATCGCTATCGAACTGTTCCGTTCCTCCCATTAATTCCTCTATACGGCTCATTACGGAACTCGGAAAGTTAATTTGAACTTCTGGCCCGCTGTCTTTATCATCCGTAGCATCATTCGAATCCATTTTAACGTAAATTTTAATAAAACATTGAAGAAAAACAATAACTCCACTAATGTATCACTTCATTGATATCATGATGACACGACGAAATGACAGCTGTCATATTGAAAAATGTTAATTCAATCGTTTGCAACATCAACATTTCATTATTTAAATACTCGAAAGTAGAGTTCAAGATTTTTTACAAAAATTGATACTTGTTTGTATTCTACAAGAACTTATGGATCAACCAGATACAAATGGGACTTAATAGCGAGAACACGAATAGCGAAGTTTTAAGAATTGTTTTATTTCAATAATGTAGTGTTTCTTCTGGTTTAAATGTGTAAGAACAACGTTTTATTATCTGTTTAGCATTTGTGAAAGTGCAAAAATGTGGAAAAACGAAACAAAGCTGCCGGACGTAGCTTTTCAAGTTTTCCTAAAAGCCCCCAGAAAAAGTCTCTGAGCAAAACCACTAAAGGCTCAATAGATTTCATTTCATCTCATCTTATTTCATTCAATTTCTTTCCGATTGAGCAGTCACATATTCAACAAGTTAACTCATTTCGCTTCTATTTTTCATATACATAACAATTTTTTTTATTGCCCTTGTAGGCAGACAAGCATACTGCCCACCTGATGGTGAGTGGTAGGTAATGTATATGCATTTAATAATAAACGAACTTGACGCTGGCAATAATGACATCGCCAAAAGCGAATTGTCATAGTGATTATCATACTAAAAAAAGGAGAGGAAGATTTATATAACAAGAGCAGTGCTTCGCAGAACTTACTACCGGATCGGAAACACGACCCACTGAGAATACTTCACCTATTTAATATGTCTGTTTAAATATATCAATTTGGTGCATGTGCATTAGTGCCGTCAAGACACTACGAAAAAGGTGATCTGTGCAAAACATAGACCTATATAGTAGGGACACGACATATTGTTCTATACGTACAATTGCTTATATAAATAGCACCCATTTTGAAGGCACATACATAAACATATATCTATCTCGTTCTCACTCAGCACTTTAACTCGCAGGAAAACAATATAACAGTATTTCAGTGCGTACATAAAATGAAACATGAATATACGTAAATGTCTCCGTCTCCGTCTAATGAGGCCGAAAATCCGCCATGTTTAGCGCACCAAATGTCATTGTCACGTCAGTTCGGCCGTCTGTTTTGGGTTGTACATTATTTATTGACTTTGATATCGATTTAATATGATTGCTTATATAAAATTTCTTATTTTATCATGCTTAAAACATACAAAAATAATAATTAAAACATATTTTATAGGATCTCAAGAAAGTCGTCGGAACTATTTAAATAAAATAGTTTTATAACACTATTGTCAACTCGTTAAATATTTAATAATTAAGTGATTTTAGAGAGGAAGTCACAAGGAATGTTTGTAATTTTATTAACGAATAAATGTTCTGTAGGTGTTTTTTTTATCAGGCGGTCCCTTGATAAGTTTAAAATTTGAATCACTCTCAAGTGAGAGTGATTCAAATGGTGCGGCGTACCTTCCTTGAGGTGCGCTGCGGTAGTGTGTTACGGACTTTAGAGTCAGCAAAACAATTAAAATAGATTGTAATAGTCTAAGAAAAACACGTACTCAAAATACGATAACATTCAGCATGCTAGAAATGGGCAGATGGCACTGTACTACGCCATATCTTTATGTTTTGCGGCAAACGACAACTTTATAAAATCAGTGTAGCAAATTTTAAAAATCGTCATATCGTTTACTTGGCAAATTTGAAGCACGAACTCGTCTTAGATTTCACATAATATCTAAATCACATCATCTTTGCACATAACAATATACTTACTTCCTATTAAAGTATAAATTCTACAAATACATTTATACTCAACAATATTTAAAATAAAATGAGCCAAGAACGTTTATCGATAAAACCTACTAACATTAAAATCTTCTGGGCAGCACTAAAACCGCCATGTTTTGTGGCCAGATGACGTCACAGTGGCACGAATTTTTTGTTGACGTTTCATTTCCATAGGTTTCCTACTTCAGTGGTGCAAAACCTCCATATACTGTCATTGTCAAAAGACAATCATTAACGTCAGTGTCAACGTCTATGAAGCTTATGAACGTCAATGAAGCTTAATTTGGAAATTGGAATCAGAAAACGAGACGTGCGCGAGGGAGTTTGTCGATTGTTATTTGTTCATTGTTTTTCATAATTTTCTACGTAACTTTTTTATATTGCAGTGCCGCGTACAGCACGATGTTCCGCGAAGAATTTACCGCAAATACATAACAAAGCCTGTGTTTGTTTTAAATTGTGATCTAGTGCTGTGATGATGGCTCGTTTAACTGAGGAGATGGTGATCGCTCGATCGAAGCAGTCGGATTTATCGGCGATAAAGAAGCTCAATTGCTGGTGAGTGTTAACTTTACAATCTAATTAAAACAGAAATCAACAGATCCAACGTCCATTTAATCCATATTGTATTCCTAATGTAAACATCGTCTAAAATCTGGTTTGAAATGTCAGGGTATTTTTTTTTAAATATTTTACGCGTGAACTGCTCGCGAATGTTTGTTGTGGCGTAAATAATAAGTGAGTTCCGTTTGTGTCGACCTTAAGAGTGCGAGGAAGCGGTTTTCCCGTGGCCCGAAGTTTTTCTAGCATTATTTGTGTGAAATCGCGAGATCATAAACGCGTAACGCTCTCCGTTTAACCGCAGTACCGGGCCTTGGAATTGTGTAAATAATGATAATAATGATTAACGTGTTTGTTTACATTCTATTAATTATTTTAAAATTTGAATAATTTTTTTTTAAGTTACTTAGTATTTGCGTAGTAAAACAATTACCTTTTTATGGTCTTAGGATGAAAATACAATAAATATTGATACTAGATGATATTGATATATAGATGATATGATATGATGGAGAGTATTAAGCGGTAGGCAGCTAGGCAGCGGCTTGGCTCTTCCCCTGGCATTGCTGAAGTCCATGGGCGACGGTAACCACTCACCATCAGGTGGGTCGTATGCCGTCTGCCTACAAGGGCAATAAAAAAAATTTGAACGCAGCACAACAGAGTATCATGCAAATGACACGTAAAATTGTTACAGTTTATTTGAAATAAAATAATTGGGATAAGTCACACACTATCATCTGCAATGTTTGTCACTATCTACGATTTCCTGCAACATATTTTATATCGACTTTTCACATTAAAAGTGTACAGTTTCCAAAAATATTTGAAATTGTGTTAATATGCATAAATGCCTGTTCCTTGCTGGATGTCTTGTTGTTCTCTTCAATGGAAAGATTTGGCTCGTATTTACAGGTTTATTAAAAGATAAAAACTGAAGAACAAATAATAATGAAGTGCAATATTAGTGTAGTAGATAATGTAATCGTTAAAGATGTATATGCGTTTGCGATCGCTCGATGAAGTGAAGCTTGGTAGTGGGCGAGAATAAAAACTTGGTTGGAGGGGGAATTAGAGATCCTTAACAATTTGGTATCACCAGTATTTTTTCCATAAATACTTTCAAAACAGCATAGTTTTTTTTTGAGTTCACCTATACTTTAACTACTATTAACAAAATTAATAAATAATTTTATCTTACTTTAATACACAGATACTGTAACTGGTAAAAAAAAAATGTTGCAAATATGATTAATATAAAAAATATTACGTGTTAAACCTTTAAAACACTCTCCTGTAAAATTAGTAAGTTTTGATATTATACAGTTTTAATGCGAGAAGACGATATCAACGCTTGAAAGGCAAACGTGACTAAGCGACAATAACTGCTTTGTACATAAATGATAGGCAATAACCATATTCGATGCGCAAAAAAAATATATTTTTAGGTTTATTAGGATCATTTCAATCCTACAGCTACTAGCTAGATTCTACTACAGCTAGATTCGTTAAAATAAATTTTCTTTTCAGGTATTTCAACTTTAGATTACTCTACTGTAAAGTTCACGCATTTTCGCTTAGTCACGTTTGCCTTTCAAGCGTCGATATGTTTAATTATACTCGTATTGAGATATTAAACACCCACAGCTGAAACTTGTTCATCATGTTAATGTTTGCCAGATATGGAAATAACACCCACAACTCTCAGGCCCAGCAGCCATGAGCACTAATTAGTGGATAAAAAATAGAATTAATTAATTAATATAAATTTTAAAATATATAGTTTAAAAATATATATATTGGGGACAGTAATGAAAAGTGCCAGTGGCTAAATTGTTAGGAATACTCAATTTATTTGTATATATTATGCTAAGTTTAAATTATTACTATTTATTTCATGTCAGGGTCTGTTATAAGAGATTTTCAAAAGATATATAAGCAATTTTGTATTTAATGGGCCTAACAACATTTTTGAAATATGAAAATAATAATTGAAGTAGGTGTGGATTTCATATTCAATGTAGGGATCATCAGTTTACTAGATTTATCCTCCCGATCCACTAACGGTGCTTTTTGGTACCTCAAGCGCCGGTCATCGTTCTCGTTGAACCCGTCGCTTGCGACGAAGGGCTCCACGAGTAAATTAACCCACAGACACAGCCCACTGAGTTTCTCGCCGGATCTTCTCAGTGGGTCGCGTTTCCGATCCGGTGGTAGATTCTGCGAAGCACGGGTCTTGCTAAGGTTCTTGTTAGCAACGTCGTCAGGTTTGAGCCCCGTGAGCTCACTAACTGTTACGCTGAAATAGCTTTTCAAGGCTATCAGCCTTGAAAGTAGGAAAAAAAAGAGGTAAGATATTCAATTCGTTTCAGTTTTTAAGATTTTTAGGTGAGGAGCATTAAGATGCTTATGAGCTCCAAGAACGTCCTCCCACCCGGTTGGTCCTGCGTAAATCCGCTCAGCTAGATAAAGAAATATTTATGATTCATGTTATCTTAACTTCAGGGAGGTAATATCGGATGACGTCACACATAAAGAACGAACGAAGCATACGTCAGTGTCGTAATTAACAGGAATGTGTCTGTTGTTGAGTCGACTGATTCATAAAAAAATATTACCTAATTTGGACATGCGCCACATCACTATTTGAGTCGTCTATTATCAAAGGTGGCAATTTGTGCATTTGGACAAAAAAAATATATTGATATGTCAATACATATTGATTTGAATATAATCGTCTCCTTCAAAGAATACGGTTCAAAACCTGCATTAAATTAAGGTTAATACTTAACCTGTTATTTATCTAAGATGTCGTTCAGAAGAGTTTTGTGACTGCCAATGGAATACAAAGTCAATAATTCGTTTTTCTGATTTACCAATAATTGTCCAAAAGTCACATTGCCGGCTTTGATAATAGTCGACTCATTTATTGGAAACGGCCGCTGAGACAAATCAATGAATTAGCATACGCGATTAATAGGTATATAAATAGGCATATTACCTAGTTTTTTTTTGTTTTGTTTTTGTTGTGGGTGGAGATAATATGCGTACGCAGTTGCTTGTGACGATCTAGAGGCTCCAGTTACGAATTACATGAGAACAGTGTGTTTAGTGCGAGTTTTTTAACTTTCTCGATAGCGTAAAAGTTAGCTCATATTTGTATGGAATGGGAATTTGCGTACGTTTGCCGCTAGGGGCGCTGTTCCAATTGTATACAAAATTGGGTTAACTTTTACGATATCGCGAACGTTAAGAAACTCGCACTAAGCACACTGGACTAGCTAGATCACTCAGTCAACTCTCGTCAGGAATACACGTACTCCATTATAAATGAACGTTACACTTTCAGGCGTTTCACTGGTGGCAGGACCTCTTGTGAGTCCGCACGGGTAGGTACCACCACCCCGTCTATTTCTGCCGTGAAGCAGTAATGCGTTTCGGCTTGAAGGGTTGAGCAGCCGTTGTAACTATACTGAGACCTTAGAACTTATATCTCAATGTGGGTGCATTTACGTTGTACATATCTATGGGCTCTAGTAAACACTTAACACCAGGTGGGCTGTGAGCTCGTCCATTCACGCAAGCACTAAAAATGAAAAAAATAAAAAATGGCGTCTAAACTAGGATGTTTTATTACCTTAAGGCCGCCTGATTGTAGTTATTCACCGACGGATATCAAATATTTTCGATAAAGACACCGACTGGGAATCGACTCGGGACATTGTCATGATAATTGGGGTCACTCAACCAACGGCCCGATAAAATAATTATAAATAACTAGCTGTACATACCCGTCTGCTTCGCTGGGCATTTAAAATTAATATTATTATTTCTCACCCCTACAAAGATTCTCATCATTAACGCTCCCGCAACTGGTGTAGGGAGTCCAACACTCATATAAATATTAGCCTATCCATTAAGTGTATGTATTTTCTACATGGATACCAAGTTTCAAGTCAATCGGATGCACAGTTCAGTAGTTATAACGGAACATCCGTAAAAACCACTGTAGATTTATATATGAGTATAGATTTCATCCTGATCACGCAGGAGCCAGTCACCGTCGACGCCCTAGACACGTCCTTACGGATCCATCAGATCCAATAACCTTTGCATTAGACGCCTTCAGCCCTAACACTAGGAGCAGGCTTAGGGATCTCGGTAACCGTACTCGTCGAACTCGACAAAGAGGTCGACGTGCAACTTAACCCATGCATCAGCTCGCTGAGTTTCTCGCCGGATCTTCTCAGCGGGGCGCGATTCCGATCCGGTAGTAGATTCATTCGCGAAGCAGCTGCTCTTGAGTTGTTAGGTCTCCTTCGGAGGCGCTCGGGCAGCTGTTAGCAAATCCCGGCTGAGCCTTTGCTCGCCCACCTGTCCCGGTGAAACTGGAAAGGCCTTCGGGCCACCAGTAATCCTTCAATCATAAAAAATAATAATATTCGTAGCTTCTTAATTCATAATTCGAGTATATAGTCGGCAATGGATTAACATTAACGGCCTAGGTGAAGGTTGAGTTTAAGTACACGTTTGCCAGCGTTCGCTATTATTAGATTAATACTCTTCTATATCTATATCTATACTAATATTATAAAGAAGAAAGATTTGTTTGTTTGTTTGTATTGAATAGGCTCCGAAACTACTGAACAGATTTGAGAAATTCTTGCACTGTTTGGAAGCTACACTATTCCCGAGTGACATAGGCTATATATAATCTTTTTTGAATAAAATTAGGGATCCTTACTAAAACTCCAATAATGTAACCCAAGGTGTAAAAAAATTACCTAAATGTCGAACTAATATAGTTATGCCACAATAATTGTTCTTTTATTTTTAAACATAAAACAACGTCAAATATCGCTGCAATTGTTAAAGACCCGAGCGGAGCCGGAACGGGTCGCTAGTTATGATATAAAAATGAATTGCTGTTCGTTAGTCTCGCTAAAACTCGAGAACGGCTGGACCGATTCGGCTAATTTTGGTCTTGAATTATTCGT